CTCCTACAGTACACTTATGATGATCCAGATTTTTTAAACTGTTAATCCGTCTCATTATTAAAACATTGTTCAATTTGTGGAGTTCTCTGGGTTAGCAAATGAAATATGTAAATGAAACACATCATAATTCATTATGTTCCAAATCCATAATTCAAGAACGGCCCATCAATTTTAGTTTTCAACATCACAATGCTTACAGTATAACTCTTGAAAATGGATTCCAGACGAAACTTTATTACGTCAACAACAATTTACGAAATATATGACGTAACAAAAATGCCTCGCGATTCCAGTTGCGGCATTGACAGAGAGCGGCTAGGCATTATGTAACCTCAAACAGATAATTTTAAGCGTTGAGATGAATTTGTCTTGATGGAATTTAAAATAATTTTTGTATACCCAGATTTTGCAACTTAACTGTAAAAATACACCTTCAATACTTCTTCCATTAATTACATATTACATTCGTTTTGATTTTATGTTTTAAACTATTTTACATATTTTCAGAAATAATTTCCCTACATATAATCTCGTTTTTCATGACTTCTGTAAATCCTACTATTTTAGCTACAAAATATACAATATGCCGTATTTTACTCCCGCGAAAAATATGCTAGATCGATTGTATTTTCACTGAATATTTTTAAATTTTAGGAAGGCTAAAATTATTGAGAAAGTCACTCGGTGTTTCTCTTTGACTCGATCTCCCCTTCATATTAACATAATAATTATATGTAACACTTTGAGTCTTATAAAAAACCACTTATTGTCGCTTATTTAACACTCCAATTCAATTTATTCAAACTTATTCTTAATAATATCAAATCAGTGAAATCACTGACATTTTGTTGAATTGTGAGACGGGAAGTTAAATTTGTATTTACAAACTTAAAGTGTATATAGGCCTACGTTTGATTGCTCAAACTAGAAAGCATGATATTATATATATTCTTATAATTTAACATTTTCCTCGAACGCGAGTCTGTGTTCTCTCATTAGCCAGGGAGTTAGTTAAAGTAGACACTGTGGTAACAAGCAAACCAATTCTGAACATATAGTGAATCAGTTTTCCTTTCTATATATTTCTTGTCAGATTTGCATGATAAAGTAGTATTTGATGAAAGTTGAAACCTACGGAAAGTTTTAGCGCACGGACATCGCACCCGAAATAAGAAGGGTAACATTTCTTGTATCCCATCGAACCTGGTCAATTTAATTATTTTTGAATAGAAGTGATACATACTAGTGGACAGAATTCAGACAACTAAAGAATTGTGTAAATTAAACATTAATTAGCAAAGAACCATTTTTTTATAGTCTTCTAGCTGGGTCATGTGGGGGTTACGTTCATTGAACGCCGCCTGTCCTTGTTGATATTGTTTATTATATTCTGTATAGCTAGTGTTCCCGCTCCCTACGACATGCTGCGGTATGGAAAGCTATCTAATCAAATCACTTCATTGTTCTTTTTTATCTTAAAAAATACGACAGTTTATCATGGTTATTAATTTAATCTTTGTGTGTAAGAATTTATAAAGCGGTTAGCGATATTTTAGCTTTAAATGATTTTAATTATTTTAATAATAGTTTGCTAGTAAAATTGCCTTTTTGACACCAACTTTGTTCTCATTTTTCATTTTAATGATAACATTTAGCTATTGATCATTAAGTAAATAAATATAATCAAATTTTTATAATTAACGAGTACATTTCACCGTAATTGTGAGACGAACCCTAAATGACGTCTATATGGGCGCCGCCATTTTGAAATGGACGTCACGTCAGGTTACAACGTAAGTCAACGGGGAAAAATATAATTTTAACATTTTGACCATATTACTGACTTTATGAAAAAAATGAAAAACATGCCTAGAGATATTGACGTCAGGGTTAAGATGACATTAATTTAAATGATTTTACTATTATATTAAATAAAAAATGGAATGTTCAAATTTGATGGGACAGACTATAGTTATAAATATTACATGTATGCATGCACTGACATCATGGGAAAATGGCCTTTTAAGATTATAGAAATAAAACTCCCAATTTTCTTATAAATGAAAAAATCAACTCATACCGAACACAAATTAAGACCTATAACATATTTTACAATAAAATACAATTGTGTCACACCGAAAACAGATACAATAGTGACATAATCATAAAGTCACAAAAAACTATTGCTTTTGGTCTCTATGGAGCTCCATATATTACCTCCCTTTTTCATAGACCATTAAGTAACGTTATCGCTAATCTTAAATGTAAACCATATAGATACGACACAGTTAATTAATTGCATCCCAGTCACACTTTAACCCCTTTTGCCTATGGTGTGTATGAAGTGTCATAAATTACCGCGCCATACAGCACGACAACGTTGATCTTTACTGTATATAGAGATTCACAATGAACCCCGCTGTTGCGCGCCTCCTGAAAAAGGGACGATGAACTATACTGTATATCCGTTTACAGTACTGAATATAACTGACACATATTAATAAAAAGTTCCGTTTTGTAGAAAGAGGGAAATACAACTATGTTCAAATAAATAATCGGCCCTAAATAAGAATAACGTCATATTCTGTGAATTACGTATGTCATTAATTATCAATTTAAGAAATATAAGGTAATTAAAAAGTTCGTTTTCAATCTTTAAAATAATTCGGCAAAACTGACAATGAAAATATTAACTTATTTTTATTATGTTAATATAGATCAACATTTATTGAAAATTTCGTAAATTTGCGTAAAGACATTTTGTTTAATATGGTGTTTCAATGGATGGAGTTAAATTTACACAATTTTGATAATAATCGAAACTTTTTTATCTCATTATTCATGATTTATTTTGTAATGTCACCAAATGTTAATAAACGTTAAGAACTGTGCGAGAAACTGTTGTTTATTGACGACATAAATTATACATAAATTAAATGTAAAAACAGAAGAACATGCAGCGTGAAATCGTATGAGTGTTTTATAAATAATTTTTTAGCTGTTGGAGCTTATTTTGTGATAGATAAACATTTAATATCATATACAATAATAAATAATATCTTGTAATAGCGTCCCAAATTTATGACTGGGTAGGGTGGTTGTATTAGTTATGTTAGGAACAGCGTGTCATTAATTTGTTATCATTAAATACATGCGGTCACTATTGTGCCGATTTTACACAACAAGTAAGACAGGTTCACGGTATTAAATCAAAATTGAGTTAATCGGGTGTCGAAGAGGCTCGAATCTCAATAAATCTCACCGAAATAACAGACAAGAGCATTTTAAATTGCATTTCCAACTATGGTGCACTTTATCGCGCCTCTTTTAAAAAATCTGGTCGCATTACAGGTTGCGATTTCAAAAGAGCGGCTTGTTTGTTTACAGGATGTCTGTTGATAGGCATGCAGATTTATTTATAAGACTTAACCTATACGGTGATTATGGTAATTAATTGATATACATTCGGTAATTTATGGATTTCGGATCAAACAGACCTGATGATGGCATACTACGGAAATTAATAGAATTTATCCTTTATTATGAAGTGCAATAAACGGGATTTAACTTGTCAAATATGTGAGCTATTTCTTTAATATATATTTTTTTATTGATAAACATATTTTTTTAAACTGAATTTCGTTGTGAATGAAATTTTACAAAATTATCTGTGCGATTTCATGTTTATCAACATACAAAATAGAATAATAAAGTATTGTTTTTAGACGATAGTATGAACGACGACGAAAAAGGCATCATTTAAGACGTAATCAGAAAATAACATTGTAATCTTTTATAGATTAGTTTGGTCACTGTCTTAATTTACTGACGAGTTTTGCACGAAAATCACGAGCCCCACCCGTATGTTAGGAAAACTATCTATCTATCTATCTATCTATCTATCTATCTATCTATCTATCTATCTATCTATCTATCTATCTATCTATCTATCTATCTATCTATCTATCTATCTATCTATCTATCTATCTATCTATCTATCTATCTATCTATCTATCTATCTATCTATCTATCTATCTATCTATCTACCTACCTACCTACCTACCTACCTACCTACCTACCTACCTACCTACCTACCTACCTACCTACCTACCTACCTACCTACCTACCCACCCATCCATCCCTCCCTCCTGAACACGTTAAGCCTTATTCTAGATCTATATGCAAATTAAATCCAAAAGCCAAATACCCGACATTGATAAAAGCGATTAATAGAGACAACCGTTAGGCAGTAAAGTAACCTTATAATTGTGTTTAAATGTTTTAAAACAGGATCTCTCCAAACGCGGGTTTAAAGCTATGAAATGAACTTGAAAATATAAAATGATAAATGATAAAACTTATTATTATATATGTCGTTACAATGCTAAGCATTTTTTTCACTGTTATTTGAGGGTATAATAATTAGATTTAAATCTAAAATTAAAGTTGCCATTACAATATAAAAGTAAATTGTCACTTATTGTTCCATAATAAGTCAACAGTTATCAGTTTTAGTTATAAGATTAAATTAATTAATTTAATTTTAAGATTATGCGTTTTATTTTCCATAATAAATAAAAATAAAAGTAATTAATTCTTAAAAGTAAATATTTAAATAATAATAAAAAAATAATGAGTTTTCATTTTAGGATCAAAGTAATAAGACAGTATAAGGTAACAGTCATGAGGTTACATATCCTACACCGATTATATCTTTTTCTCAAAAACATCGAGCTCTTAGAATATTTTAAAGTTTAAAAACGCGACAAAGTGACTAATGGAGTGAAGTGTATTTGTCAGTGTACTGAATTCACATGATAAAGGTATATATAAAAAGAAAAACAACAACATCATAGCACTGATCGGTCCTAGTTTACTTTGTACGTGTATTTTTATTTTAAACTTTAAACTTTAAATCGTTTCAGCCCATTAATTGCAAATGAACTAAAAATAAGCCATGTTATGAAATTTTTTGTCAATTATTTTCTCTTCCTGTTTGAATTGTACCATAGTAATCTCGGGATTTTAACATAGTCCGCAGGTCACTTATTATGAAATAAAGTTTTATAGGAATGTAAAAAAATCTGGTAAATATCTTTACATCTATAATTTCAATTTTCTATAATATAACCAATTTGTAAAATTATTTTTTTCAATCAGTATTAATGCTTCTTTTGAATATTTTTTTAAACATTTGATTTTTAATGTATGGGTGAAAAAGATTATGTAAATTCTGAATATTCACTTTCTTTTCATATTTTTTTTTCAAATTTCAATTATTAGTTATTATATCAGTATTTGAAGAAAAATGCTCTCTTTATCAGTAGGTATTTGTTCATGAAATACAACAGATTTCATTATTATCAAACAAATTACAAATTATTTAGATTAGCAGTCTGTTTGATACAATTTATGTAACTTGAAACTTTACGAAATGCACGAACAATGAAACGTGCATTAAAGCTACAAAAGATATATAGTTAAGCCCAATGGGTGGTTATGAACAATTTATGAACTTTTAAAGGAAAAGCGTTGGCAAAATCTTGTTACTTATATCATCAATTGTGGAAACCATTAAAAACTTGTATGTGTTGTTTTATTTATTTTAATTAATATATATTATATATATTTACTTTTTATTTATTATATTTATTCATTTCTTTATTTATTTGAAAATATATTACAAAAACAATTTTATTCATATCATATCAATATGAAAACAGCTTTCGATTGTCGAAAATTAAAAAATCTGAGTTGTACCCAAATTTCGCTTTGACAGATGTTTTATTAAATGAAAATATTGGACAAAGGAGATCCCCCGAATGCAGTGGCAATTGAAGTAAATAAGTGAAAATTGTAGACTCGATCCAACAAAGAATCAAGCGGTAACTCTTTCTTTAGTTTAGGTTGAAGGTTTGTGTTCAGTGACAAAAGAGTAAGCGACTCTTAAAACATTTTTAAACTGCCCAGTATTATCCTTTGACTAGCTAAAGCACCGAATGAATATTCATACTATAAATAACAATGAAGGCGCTTCTGCACTTTAAATTTGTTGGTTGTTGTAGAAAGTACATCTAATGTTCCAATTCCATGGGCATTATGCCACTATAAACATGAAAATACTTGAATTTAAAACATACTTCGTATGCTGAATTCTCAATTCCAATTCTTTTCTGCCCATTTAAATACGTATTTGTTGACATACAGATCACATGGACTTTGTAAATTTTAATAGTAGCAATGCTTTGTCAATGGTTTGTTCAACTGGTATTCAAATAAGTAACCCGATCCGATCCGTTGACAAAAATTTGAAAGAAGAGAAACGTTATATCTCTTCCGGGTCAAATTTTGTCATTGAAATGTCACACAATTTGTTCATAACGGTATGTAAGTGAAGTTAAGAGTAACTAGCAATACGTGTATTTGTTCTGGGTTGTTTTCATATTAACATATGAAGGTATAAAATTATTGTTCTTCTTCTTAACGTTATATTAAAACGTTGAATTCATCAAGTATCTGCCAACTATACGGTATGTGTAATCTACCTGTCCGGTTATTGTTTTTTGAAACAAGTAATGTTTAACCTGTAACATAAAAACAATAAACATACAATTTCAGACAATTGATTCAATTTAAAACAATTTCAAAATGTGGGATGAAGGTATTTTTGAAATGACAATGTTTAAAAACTTTTTTATTTTGACAAGAAAAACAATGCAATTTTATTTTGGGTATAGTTAGTCACTTAAGTGAAAGACTAGAACGATTTGACATGCAGATTTCTGATTGTGAGGTAAAAATGTATGATGTGACAAATATTGTTAAATTATTAGATACTCGAGATCTATATTAAAACAAGTTGTAAAGATTTTTAAAGTCTTTTTCGGGCTTTTACTTTTCATGTAAGTCATTACATCTAAGATAATTTACATTTTTAAACAACTAACTATATATATATTCACTGCTGAAGAAAAAGCTATTTTCTTATTTAGCTTTGACGTACATTTACAGCATAATTGTAACAAATTTGTATTTTTTTGTCAGATTCACTCTTTGCTTTTTTATCAATAGGAGTCCGATAATATTATGATAGAAAAAAATATTGTTGCCATTTCATGATATTATGAAAACCAAGTCAGTGAAATTACATTGGACCCAATTTGGTTTGCTAAACACCCTTTAGATACTCAACTATTAGAGTTACTTTTACCAAATAGTGATTGTTTGATTATATTGTAGTTAAAATACTCGAGAAAATCTCTTAAGAACATGAACATGAGTAAAGCTGATAAATTGAAAAAACCTTTTTGATAATGATGTTTTAAGTAGAATTTTATCCAGAACCTGATATTTAATATTGCAAAGAAGGGAGTTTTATATATGCAAGTAACTTTTAGATTAACAAATCTTATTTCTATCACAATTCTGTAGATAATTGGATTTTGTTGTTGAAAAAAAATTGAATATACAATTTAAAGGGTATTTTCTTGACATCAGTAATCTTTATTTCGCCGCACTAATGTTCCAATTATTTTTTCTGTACTGTAACATAAGATTATACATTAGTAAGCAGAATTGTTTGTTGTTTTCATCAAAAGTGTATAAAGTTCTATATAATATTGTTTTTTGAAGAGATTAAAATGGTAAGAGAATACCTTGAATAAAATAAAAATGTCAGTATATTTCATTGATCGTAAGTGGTACTCAGTGAAAAGATTGCTAAACCCATTAAAGGAACTCCACTGAGGTTTAATTTATAAGGCTAATAACATAAAATTTTATTTTTTTTATATAGATCAACATGAGCACTTAAAACAGAAATGAAATAAAAATAAAATATAACTAAGAAATACACAAGAAATACATAGAAAATCCTACGTTTGTGCTATTATCAGTCCGATTTGAATGAAAAGCGTTTAAACGCTTTTCAATTTTGGGTCATTTTTCACTTTTGTAATAATTATTATGGAAAAATGGAGCGAGCTTAAGATCTGAAATTTTGCACACAAGTTATTAGTATAGATCTACATCAAATGGAGTAATAATCTCAAAAAATATTTTCAGTCCCGTCATGTCACTAAACCTCAGTGGAGTGCCTTTAAATCTAGCAGCGTAATATTTTGTTACGGAACATTTCGTTCTGTTCACATACACTTTTCATGTTGACTAAATTAGTTTGAAATCTTTCAAGAAACGACCATAAGATGATTATTATTCTTTTTTATTACCTGATACCTTATATAAATGTAATTTGGTATTTTTTACTGTTTTCTGAAATTCTAAAAACGTCAACGTTCGCGAACTGTTGACCGGTCAATAGTTTCTACTGTTTCCCTCGCGAGTTCTGACGTCATTGACGTCATAGAGGATCCCACTTGAAGCGTCCATCGATCTTGATCATGAACCAGACGTGACGTGACATAAAGTATTAAGTTTAATTATGAACATATGTGCAAAACTATTTTCTTGTTCCTTTTTCTTCTGCAAGTACTGTTAAAACAGTAATTGATCAGGTAATAAAACAGTTATTTCATATGTGATTTTGGGAACAGTCAAACAGTTGTCCCTCGGTGTCGGGATAGTGTTTTGAACTGTTGCCCTCGGTATAAGGTATGGAATGTTATTATTCAATTCTTATATAAGACTATTATGAACAGCATAGATTCTATTCTTTATTTCTGTAATTTTTTTTATCAAATTTACCATATTTTTGTGGCAATCAAAACAGAATTGTCAGTAATCGATTTCATATTCCGTATCGTGAACAATTAAAAAGTGTTTAGTAATATTAAAGACGCGATATGCCTCAGAAACAAACAAAGTCTTCCTTCTTACAGATTTGTATCATATTTAAAATGATTTAAGAGCATGTTATATGTTTATTTTCTTAGGCAAAATAGCGCTGGATTTGTTGTTCTTTTTTCCCATAAAAATAGCAAAATGCAAACCAATCTTTATTTTGACTTATATACAAATTATCAAATCTGTATAATTTTACTTCATGTAAAAAAATAAAAAATAATAATAATAAAACAGCACGAGAAGAAAAACTATTGTACAAATTGAGTAATTTTTGAAAATTATAAACAGAACGAGATGAATAAAAGGATTTTAGAAATAAGAATAAAAGCGCGTTTGGGGTATAATGGGCCTTTATATAACATTTCACAAAAGAGCCCAACTGAAACGCTTTGAATAGTTAAACTATTATTGATTTTATTTGTTGAAACATTATCACTTAACTGTTGTTTTTTTTATTGAACTTTAACAACTGTGTATTCAAGACAGTCTTATATATTTTATTCCTTACCACTTTTAGAGGTCATGGAAATTTAAAATGTTTTTTTATGTCTAAATTATAGATTATACTTAACAACAAAATATGGTTTTAATTTTTTTTTCAGATACAAAACAAATATGATAAAGACAAAAATTTAACGATGAAATTGCAGTTTTTGATTGTGCTATTGCACGCTTTAACTTACGACGTTGCAGGTAAATAATAGTTTCTTTAGGAAAATTTCTTGTTATGAATATATTATTTGATATCATTTCAAACCTTTTAGATAGTATAGCCCTTGGTATGTCGTTGCATTCTATCAACAAGTATATTACACATTTGAAAATTAAAACTTGAATTTGCGAGAAATTATTAATTGTTAAAAAAGATCTTATTATATTATACTGTAACAATTATTGAATAATATTTTGTTTTGATCAAAGCATTGCAATTATTACGTGGAAATATTTTTTATTATTTTTATTAAACAGGCGGTGAGAAATTAAATGTAAATAGTATACGGCTAGTCAATGGGACGCAACTATATAGTGGGAGAGTAGAAATCAACATCAATGGTGTTTGGGGAACCGTTTGTGATGACTCATTTGATTATAATGATGCAAATGTCATGTGTCGAATGATCGGTCTTAAGTATGTTTAACCTTTATTCCTAATTATAGAGTTTCAGAAAATAGGCAAGGAGTATGATGGCCGATTTGTGTCATTCGTGTTTTCGCCCTGCGACCCCGAAAAGCAAAAGAAAATCGAGAATTGACTAGTAAGAATGGCAGGTCAGTGGAGCAAAATCACGTAAATAAGCGGGAGAACAGGGCGGAGTTAACCCATTACTGCATGAGCATTTTGTGAGAAAATGGCTGTTTTCATTGAAAAGGCTCCTATTACAAGTTCAAATTGCTATAAAACTGTACAAAAATGCTTCAATACTAATCACTTGGCACAAATGTTAACTGGACCATTGTCTTTGTAACAACATGCTCAGTCCTTAATTTTCTGTTACCATGGCAACGAGGGGACGTCTCAAAATTGCAAAAATCACTATTTTGCGTCGATTTTTTCTACCAAAATTGATTTAAAGTGCTGCAACTTCTCAATGGATTGTCATAGAGTCCAAGGCATTTTAGCATTGCTTGCACATTACCTGATGATCGACCTGGGGACATTTTTAGCATCTCACAAGTTCAAAGTTTTCTTGGAACTGAGGGGAACTGCTGCCCCTTTCCAACCCCTAAACACAGGGGGGCACATCCCCGTTCTGCCAACCCCCTGATGTATCTTTGGAAAAGGGACGGCTCCAAAAAAGTGTTCACATTTTTAAATAGCATTTCTCATACAAAAACAAGCGTTGGGGCCTAAATAAGGCATTTTTTTCACCAATTCAGACAACAAAAATGGGGGGGGGTGAAAAAGGCATAGCAAGGCGTATATATATCTGTAAATGGGTTAAACAAATGAAAATTTGTCCCGAGCCCCCGTTAATTAGCGTGTTTAATTTTCGCTCCGCGACCAAACCAAGCTAAAAGCCGAGAATGATGTATAAATGGAGGGGGCGCCCGCCACTTGGCGAAGTTTAATTTATTCAACTTCGCCCCGCCCCCGCTAATTAGCATGTTTTCGCTTCACACCCTCGCAATTTTAACTTGGTAATTCTCGACTTTTCGCTCGGCAAGGTCGCGGGGTGAAAACCAGAATGGCAAAAATCAGCCACCATGAAGGAGTATTTATACATTAGCAAATAATGAATCATTAAACCATGTTGTATAGACATTTTTTATGTAAATAATAGTTAACGCTCTTTTGCTTATGTAACATTTATCATGTATAAGTTTACTAGGAGATGATACTAAAATCAAATATAGTCTTACAATCTCTGTAGCTGTAAAATGACACCCGAAAAGCGTTGTATGTGTTATGTAATGCACTTATTAAGATACTGTATCACATGTTTAATTCATTTCTTATCTGCACCTATGAATAACTGCGTAAGTGCAATATGCTTTGTGTACTACCTATAGAAATTAATTTATCGTTTTATAAGGACCCGTTTAGCCATATCATATTGTGTTTATTTTTAGTATATTTTGCTTATAACTACCACTATCTAATTTTTCTTTTTGAACGTTACTATTTTTCAGAGCTACAAGATTTGAATCCGGTGCATATTATGGACCAGGAATCGGACCGATATTTGCTCAAAATTTTAGGTGTAATGGTTACGAAACTCATCTTAAATATTGTGAATTTGTTCCGAATGTACAATGTACACACGACAGAGATATCAGCATTATTTGTACTGGTAGGTGCAAAGGCAGCTAGAAAATTTGATGTGTCTTTTATTTGATTTCTTTTTCTAGAGTCTGCTTGGAATTGATTTTTTAAAATATTAAAGAATAAAGATATACTATGATCGTCCTTAACAAGTTTTTTTAATTATTGAACAGTGTTTATTTTATATCAAAAAGAAGAATCACATCTAATGAAAGTATCAGTCTTTTCAAATATAAAACTTGAGCAAAATATATCTTGAACAGAATTTTCACTTATAGAGTTTCTCTTTCTTTGTATTATTATCATTGCATTGATGAAAGGCAGGTAAATCATACAGTCTGCTGTTTAAATTCGAGCTTACTGAAATATTCATACAATTTTTCACAAAGACTTTGATATCGTTAATAAAATGAGCAATTTGGCTACTTAATTTTCTATAAAATGTATTTAGCATTTTGAACAATAACATTACTTTTGTTACTTTAATTTTCAGGTATAGTTCTTTGATTAACTTGGTAGGCCTAATGATCTTATGCTCCTCATGTAATAAGGGTTTGCATAATTATATAATTATTGTCAAAACCATCGTTCAAAGTACCTGGTAAATGATAAAGCGTGAGCAAAAACCGCTTCGTTTTTGTGCATAACCATACTGTGTTTCGTTTATTCATGCTTGTTTTAGAATGTGGTCAATTGGAAATACATAATGGAGATATGCAGTCGATATCAGCAGACGGTAGAAATATCGATATCAAATGTAAAGAGGGGTTTCAATCAAATGTTACCACAAGTACTTGTGAAAATGGAACTTGGTCTGTTCCATCATTACTGTGTACAGCAGGTGAGATAGTGGCCATAAAATTCACAAATCGTCTCACAATCATGTTTCTTTTATTTCAACATTAAAATTGCAGTTTTAAATTGGTTTTATTTGTTTAAGAATATAAAGAATGATAAAACATGCTTATCCAACACGCAGTTGGCATTATTTATAAATGGAGTTAAAGAGTTGAATGTTTAAGGGTAAACTGTTGCTGAATGTGACGAACAATATATTGTTTTGTCATTTTATCATCCTTCTATTATTTTCTATTATTAATATGAAAATAGAAACGTTCAATGTCAAAGTATATAAAAATACAGTAACAAACATTTCCTCTTCGTATTCACTATTTTACAATCAATTTCTATCGTTAACTTCTATTCATTTTATTTAAATTTCAACGTTTTTGACAAATAGTGACTCGACGTGTAGTGCTTTATCTTAGCAATAATACTAAACATTTATGCCTGTATTTATTTCTAATAACTCTTTGGTATCCTGCAGGTTCTAATTAAACATGGCCGTTGAGATGTTCCTTCAATACAACCCTTTATAAATAGTTATATAAAAAATTCATTGTGTAATGTTTACAGACTTCTGTAATTTGATACGTAGATAAACACTTTTTAATATTACAAAACAAATCAAATTTCAAACGTTTTCTTCGCCTTCTTCCTCTCCTTTTTCCTAAAGTAAAGGATAGCAATCAATTACTGAAAACAATGAGCACGTGTAGATGTCCGAAAAGGTATACCGTTAAAACCAGGTGAATCAGTACGTTTGAATATTGAAATAATTCATTATGAATACAACATGTAATTGTGATTGTATTAAATTGCGTCTGTTGCAGTATATAGTCTAAAATAAATACATGAAATATATATGATTTTCCGTGAAAACAGTTCATCACCAAATAATTTAAGATTAATTTTCATTTTATACACGCTGTAATGGTGCAATTAATTAATTTAAATTTTGGCGAGACATATCTTTCATAACGTCAAAGAATAATGACGCATTAAATTAGTGTTATTCATTTTTTTGTTTGATAGGAATGATTTTTTTAAAATTACATGTAATTTTAAAAATTTAGAACAGTTAAGTGTTTCGTTGGCAAAGCTTTGATTTTCATTTTGTTCCTAATCATAGCAAAATAACAATGTTTTTCATGTAATTAAAATGGAAGACAATATAATTAAATGACTGTAAAAGATAAAAATAAATTGTAACTTTTAAATGTTTTCATTTCGGACAAAGGTATAAGGTGTTGCAGTTTTTCAAATTGAATGTTGAGTATATGCCTTATTATTTTATCGCGAATATTTGTTTATAAATCAACAACTAAACTTCAAATTGCTGTATAGTTAGTTGTTCAGTTAACAAACAACACAAGTGCAAACAAAATTGGTTTTTAGATATTTATTTAAACATGCTTTACAGAAAATTTAGCTGTAACAAACATCAGGCTAGTTAACGGAATTGGACTTTATGATGGAAGAGTCGAAGTTCTTATGAATGGAACTTGGGGAACCATTTGTGGCACATCATTTTCATTCTATGAGGCCGGAACAATCTGCAAAATACTTTTCGATACTTGGTATGTACTGATGTTGGTTATTTTAATTTGTTTTCTTCATTTTGCTTTCAAATAGTTTATATATCTCTATATTGCTTAAGTTGAAATGTGGCATCACTGTAATTATTAGAAATTCAAGTAGTTTAATTATCATGTCGATGAGCGTTTGGAAACCGTTTATTGCCATGTAAGCAAGAATCAAATTGTTATTGAAAAATGTTGTATTTTATCATGTGTTCTATCATTCAAATATTTTAACAGGTGATGTCTTAATGATTTCATATTTAATTGAAAGTGAATGAATAAATGAAATGCTAATTATCGAGATCCGAAGATGTAGAACATAAGGGAAAGTGTATAAAACGTTTTATCAAACGAAAATTCAAACATTCTGTTTAAACCTTATTTTCATTAATACAAATGCCTTTGTCTTAACAATACATGTTTATAATATTTAGACAAACGTGAGGGTTATATTACATAGAGAAACAATATTGGGAAATAGAATTATTGTAAAAAAGAATATAGAATATAATTAAGTTCATTTGTATAGGTCGTACAGAACATATTCGTCTAGTTCAAGTTACTATGGACCAGGAACAGGGCCGGTACATATTGACAATCTGGATTGTAAAAGATATGAAACTAACTTAGATGCTTGTCAATACAGCCCAGACGTAAGCCTGTCATGTGCTGGTCATAGCCGTGATATTTTTGTCGCTTGTGACGGTATGTGATTCATATTAACATATATCACATTATTTTTGTGCTGCTGCCTCAAAAAATTAGCCAAAGTGTTTCTTTTTATTAAACATGTCATATATCTTAAAATACAATGACATTTGCTTCGTATCTTAACTTAATTGATCAAGTCCCGTGTTTGTGTGTAAGATATATATGAAACTTTCTTCTATTGAACACTCATTTCGTACCTCACCCTTGTGTCTCCCTGTTTTGTTTGCTTCTCCTTGACAAAGTTCCAGTAATGCTGTTTTTGTTAAGGAAAAGGTTCATTGTTGGATCTGATTTCATATTCTTGGCGATGTATTGTAATGCATTTATTTGATTTGTTGTTTAATGGGCTTTACCACCACAACTTTAATAGTGGAAGAAAACCTCAAGTGCTCTTCCGGGCATTAGTTCAGACTCGAACATGCGCCTAAGTAGAACCGCCGTAGGCTAGCTGCATAGCTGTCGGGATTCAAAACCGACTGTCATAATACAATCAACAAACGTTATGTTGAGTGGAAAATGCATAGCGAATATACATTACAATGACTTGTGATTATCGTATAATGACGAAAAGACTTTATAGTATTGACTACATTATAGTATTGAGCATAAAATCAATAACAAGTACACGACTGGTAAACGGTACAGGACCTTTTGACGGTCGTATGGAGCTGTATGTTGATGGTAATTGGGGAACAATTGACCGGAGGTATATTGATATGTATGATGCACGAACATTGTGCAATACACACAACGCAAGGTAAAGAAATGTTTTTGATATATCAATGTAAACATATTTAGTCACCAACAATTCCTTAGAAGTTTTTATGAGAAAGGTACAGTATTCCATAAAGACTTAAACATTTATTTTTGAATGACGAGAGAGCAATGCAGTTTACTTTTGTAAACTTTCTATTTGAATAAGAGCTGAATTATTCTATTAATACTATGTACAAACTTTGCTTGAAATAAAAGCTACCAAAGAAGGGTTCACATCTTCCAAGAGACAGGTTCATTTATGTTTGACTTCTGGTGATATATGTTCTTATTTCCTGGATCTCTTTATTTTTACACCATCTCATTTCAATTTGCTTATTTTATTATTGCAAGTGCGAAAATTAAATAATTAAAAGTTTATTGTTTTCCAGCAAAATGAATATATGTATGAATGCTAATGGCAAATGTAGATACACGATTAGATAATACATTTATTTATATATCAGAAAACAAATAATATTACTATTCATTATATTGCTGTGCATACTGAATAGCTTAGAACTTTATCTTAGTATTTTTATAGTTGTTTATTTTGTTATTTTGTTTGCTGCGTAACTTATGTATGTCATATAGTATTGTTTTTTTTTTGTCGTTCATCTTTAGCTTAGCAATGTATTTCACTTCTGCGATATATGGACAAGGAGCAGGACCAGTATTATTACATGTTCTAAATTGTAATGGTGAACGAGATCATATAAGCAGTTGTAGTCGTTCTTCGCCATATAGACCTTATTCTTCACACGCATACGATTTATCTATAGCGTGTACACGTACGTAAATTCAATTTAAAGTAACATACAGATGGCATACTTTTGATTTAACTGGAACAATACAGATATCAGAAATATTACATAACGTTTCTTACGAACTATACCATATCCTTTAATAATTGTTAGAATAAATAAAACATCAAAGATTTGGGTAACTGACTTTTAAGTTTCTAAATGGTAGATCATTTTTCTTTGGTTTTTAGCCTAAGTTTGAACTCATTTTTAAACAACAACGTACCATTTGTCAACCTCAGAATGCAATGTTATAAAAATCAATCACTTTTGGCCGAACTTATACTAGTATTTCGCAATTTTTACGTCAACGGTTAAATAGCATAATAATACACCTGGAAATAAATTAAGCACCCCCCCCCCCAAAAAAAAAAAAAAAAAATAAAAAAAAATTAAAATTTGTTGTGATTGAAAGCACTGTCATGAGATGGCGACTTAATTGAGCTAAGAAATAGTAATTTGATAAGTAGCGGTACCAATCTGGTAAATCATAAACCAGTTACTTTACGAGTTTTGTTTATTCTTAACCAAATAATTGAAGCATAAGCAAATGTGATGTATTGTTATCAACAATGTAAGTGTCTTTAAGTTTGGTGTAGAAGCGTTTTCAAAACATTTACTGATTGATATTTTTGGTAAATGTTGACCTTGACGTAACCTAAAATCGCATTATGAAGGCAATATTTAAATAACTTGTGTAACAATCACTTGTTCTGATGATAGCCTAAACCCTTCTCCTCATACTACCAGTAAGGCGTCTAATGCGATTTTTTGAGGTAAATGATGCCATTCTTGGTGCAGAGCTTGTTCCAGTTGTTGCAGGTTGACTACAGGTGGTTCGAACCATTGCCCGAATAAAATGTTTAATTTCAGTTGTCGTCATGTCAAAATGGAGGCAAAATGCCAGGTGTACTTAATTTATTTCCAGGTGTATAGTTTCCTACAAATAAATGTTGAATATAGTTTACTGTTAAGTGTTCGGTGATATTTTTTAATACTTATATCAATTTCTTTGCAAACTATTTGTCTCATGTGAATAGTACGCTTTGTGAACAAAAATTGCTTCAACTTTTCAGCATGTGGGTTACCTCCTATTTATAACGGAGATCCTATATTATTTAACGGAAGTGAATTGACTATGGCATGTCACAAGGGATATCAGCCAGGACAAGTTACAGTAAAGTGTCTCGATGACAACAGCTGGTCTCAGGAACAAATATGCACTCCGACATTTGGTATTTTATTAATAATTGAATGTATTTCTATCCATTTTATAAGGTGATTTAATGTATGTTATCATATGTAAGAAAAATCTACGGTTCAGCTTCTCACTGAAAATTGACTTACACCTGTCTGGTAAAGAACAGCTTTACATTGAAGAAATGTATATTATTTTTAAAATTTGTAAATAAGATCGATGTTGAATAGAACTTTTAAGATTGACATAACTTACATAACTGGTGAAATCCTTGCAAAACCTATATTGTTATTACCAGTCATACAAATAAATCTTGATGGGTCCAAATATCATTTTATGACGTCTATTAAGTTATCAGGAATAAGCAATCCCAGGGATTTGTATGATAGGATTTAGTTAAACTAAACATAAAACCAAATTTGCACATTTCAGAAATTCCGTCAACATTTTTATGATGTAAATGTTTAATGAAATATAAATTCGTACAATGTTTGAAATAGTTGAGAAACGTGTTATATTTATCCTTAGCCTAATATTCAATAAAACACGTTTTTATTTAACAAAACGTGTTAAGCTTATGTCTACTTTATATCCGCAGATAACCCACCTGCTCTCGAAGACATAGCACTTCGTAACGGATATTTGCCTACTGAAGGACGTGTTGAGATAAAAATAAATGGCACTTGGGGAACAGTGTGTGACACAGGTTTTGATTCTGCTGACGCACAAGTTATATGTAACATGTTTGGCTTACAGTATGTACATACATGTGTTACCTTTTGATATTATATAATGACTTACCAATTTTTGGAATGCTCTAACCAATATCAAAATATGATAAACAAGATCATCAAGGAAAGGCGGCGTTCAATGAACACAGCCCCCACCCGACCCAGTAAGAAGAGTCAGTGGCAAGGAGCCCAGGAGGACCCCAAATAAAAACAGGGAATAAATTAATTACATGAATCAATGCCATCAAATTTACTTTATTACAACCAACACTTCATTCACACAGTGACGGGTGCGGTAAATTTCAAATAAACAATGCATATGTTCATGACAAAAAGAGTTTAGTGAAGTTCAAAAGGAATGCTATTTCTGAACAATTTCATTTCTTTACTCAATTCTTAATACATGAAAACCATGAATTTACTTCTCAAATACATATATGCTGTTTACAAGAAATATAGAAATTATACTCCTACAATAAACTTTAAAATATTCCATGAAATTATTCCTTAATCCGTACAAAAATAATACACTTCAAAGCACAACTATTCTCTTTGGAAAAGACTTTTTTCAACTCCCGCAAAAATAATCAGCCTGAACACATTTGGAGGGAAATGCAAAGCAATCATCTCACTGGTTAAAAATAGAAGTAAAAATAATAATACAAGGGAAGTAACTGGAATAATCCCAACTAGATTTAAACCCTGTTACACAAGTATATTTGAAAAAAAGATTTTTCGTGATATGATCATATGTAATGTAAAGTATAAAGATGAAACAATTATTTACGAAGAAAATTAAGTGCAGACGTTGAATGCACGACACTGTAAATTATTCTCTCGATATTAGTATACATCACACTAATTCAATTTTTTTTGCCAAAGCTGTTATCAGTAAATATTTATATATGAATATTTCTATGCAGGTATGAGCGACTGTATCTCAAATCGAGTCATTCTTCCGGAAGAGGAAGTGGTCCAATTTACGTTAGCAATATGACATGTAATGGCAACGAATCTCATATCAACGGATGCAGTTATGACATTTCAAATATATGCACACACTATGATGATGTAGCGGTCCGTTGTACAGGTATTACTTTTCCTGCCTGTCAGTAGATTATACATTTTTGCAGCATTGTGATTTGTTTCCGAAGAAAGCCACCTTGACGAATGTCTGTTTAGATCTGCGAAGTTGTGAAAAGTTTAGTGTTACAACACGGACATTTCATAACATCCGTACTCGTTGTATGTTTGGCTTTATCAAGCCGGTGTTAGTGGGCGTGAGGGATGTTGCACTTATTCATTATCCCTCATGTACAGACTCAATCAAACAGAGTCTACAACTTTCGTGTCATTTTGTTATAAAAATGCTTCCGAGGGATCACTGTGTTTCCAGATTTTTACCAACTATATTTCTCACCACGAGGCTCATATAATATATGAAGACGGTGGTTGTACGCTCGTAATAATTAATCATAATACCTTGCACATTAACTTGACAAAATTCTTTCAACGGCATCTCTAGATTATTCTTTAATATGTGGCCAATAGTTGCATACGGTTTAAAATTAAACTGTGTGATTTTTATCAAGTATTAATTTAGAAAATGAATGATTTCTTAAAAAATAAATTTGTTTTGTTAAAGAAGAAGCACGATAATTGAACAGGAAAATTTCTATGCGATGCGCGAGATATCTCAAGGACTCCAAGTGTTGTAGTGGCGGACATAATCCATTATAACTGATGTATTGCAGAAACATAAGTAAAGAAGACTTTAAGGTCATAAGTACAATAAATAATAACGTTGATAAGATATTTATTATAAGACATACAACAAGCCACGAATGGATTTTATACATGTATGTACATGTATGTTGTTTTCAAGTGTCTGATGTATAATCCGATATTACAAATAGTTTTAAAGCAAATGGTAACATGTTTTAAAACAGCACGTTATTTTTTGTCATATAAATGTTAATACCCTTTGCACTTCATCAACGTTTTTACAAGCGATATTTTATTAGAATATCTAAATAATTCATTTCTATTGTCTTTAGCTCTTTGTAGAGCTATTCCCTGTATAGGGACTCCACTTAGGTTTGTTGGCAAGACGGGAATGTCAAAATGTTTTCAAGGTGCCCTTTAATAAACCCTGGACCAATAGCTTGTTAACTTCCAGATCATACCCATTCCTTTTTTCCAGAATCGTTAGAATGTTCATCCCGGTTATAGCACAATATAAGGGCCCTAAAACTGTGACATCTATAGAAAACAATTCTCAAATAATAGTTATTAAAGGGGATTAGAGACACAAATAATCATATTTTAATATTATATTTTAAATATTTTTTGTTTTGTAATGTTCTCAATATCAAACCATAGATTTTGAAAGATGTTATTGTGGCAATTAACAATAAAATTAAGCCAACATAAGCCAAAATCCCTTTAAAACATATTAAAACATTATAAAGACCTATGTTAATACTTCCGTAAATAAACTTTTAACTATTTTTTGATATTAAGTTTTCAATGCAGTACAGAGGTGATTAAATATAGCTCACCTTTGAGCCTCAATAAAAGCGACTGGTTTCTGATAGATATGCTGATACTAAATATTTATACGATTAACCATTAACAGGCTACCATTTAAACATCACTGGTGTCAGACTGGCAGGAACAGATGGACCATATCATGGTAGAATAGAGATAAAGGTTAACGAGACCTGGGGAACTATCTGTCACAGTGGATTTGGATCAAGTGAAGCAAGATTCATATGTCGTTTGCTTGGACTCGAGTATGCATTAAAGTGTCTTTTACATTATAAAAATGACATCCGCTTTGTATTAAGCATATAGATATTGATTTATAGATGCCCGTCCGGCTATGCTTAATATTTTCCGCCCGTCGTGTACCTGTCTACTATTCAGCATCCGTCCACCACACTGTTGTTAAAAAATCGTCTAAACTAGGAGAATATCATGAAAACTAAAAACGAATGTTCCTTGGATGATCAATAACAAGACAGTTCTATGCCATGGCGTCTGTTTTGCTTTGGTAACAAAAATATCGCAAAACTTTTTATTTATCGAAATCTCATAGATATGAATTATTTGTGATTACTTTCAGTGTTGTCTTTTTCTAATGATTTGATCAAACAAACGATCACAATGTGCTTTTTACTCCATGTTTACAGAAAACGACCTCATCTTAAAGTTTTGGGATGACTTTTGATAGATATTCATAGAAATGAGCCATAAAAACTAATTTATTGATTAATTTTATTGATTAATATCTAATCATTGTGCATAATAACATATAAAACAACAATGTGTAAAAGACATACATGTATATAAATATTTTAATACAGGAGATCATTCAAAACTACGATTTGATCGGTCATTCATAGATACCTGACCTGTCTTTTTCTAATTATAAGATTAGCAGATACAATATGAATTTCATCACAACACTTTTGTTAACAAAAGAACACATGTCAATGTTTTTGGTTAAATATTTGTTATTTAAGTGAAAAGTCAGAGTAGGGATTTATCAATTCGATGAAGAAAATTTTTACTTCATGGGGGAGTTTTTAGGCTCTGATAAGGTAACTTATGAGACTGTACCTAGGCTGATGTCTATCAAAGATAAAACAAATTCTTTCCAGCATGTAATTGTAAAGGAAATGCAAATGTCCAAAAGGCAGGAAAACAATCGAAGTGACAGGTACACGATTCGTGATATTGCTAAAGCTGTCTGCTAAAGCACATCATTATCGCGGTTGCATTTCATTTGAAGGAATTTCAAAAGTAAGACAGATATATGCCAAGTGGATACCCCAAATGTGACAAATAGCTTTATCCCCCCCCCCCCCCCTTTTACCTTAAAACGTGTTATCCGAATAAGTAACAATTATGGGAATCACATAAAATCTAATTAATATATGTAAAGGTATGTGTTCACAATTATCTTTCAGAGACAGTATGTTTTCAGAACTTTATTTTATGCTTTTGAGTGGATTACTGATTTATACGTGAAAAGTTTAATTGATATTTTCCCAGTAAAAGTTATCATAATATAATTTCAAAATTTTTAAAGAAGAAACTATTTTTAGACACTTTTATGCGGTTTTTCTATCAAAAAGATAACATTACAGTAACTATAATTCATTCAATTTACCGATAACCAAATTCGTCTCACTGTTTCTACTGATTCCGTCTCAACTTTATGATTTTCTTCTTAATATTCTGAAAATAACACTTTCTTCATCATACAAAACTGGTCTTGATGACATTTTGGCATATTCAAATTTATCCTACGAGCAATAACTGTAAAGTTTGTAAATTGGCAATGACAGTCATCTGACACAAGGATGAGTAAATAGCTAAGCGTTCGTAGGACAGCTTTTTTAAAGATATACTATGCTCAAATTTGATGTTTGAAAATATTGATAACTACTACACAGCCTCTTTGTAAATATAAAATAAACATGATTCAGCTTCATTCAAAGTAGATATGTTATGTTTTAAACTCTATACACTATTAGTGGTCACAATATGAATATATAGTGTCATTAAAAAAAACTGGCAGTTTTTTTAAGAAAAGACCAACTTCACTTGACCTTTAATAGGGAATGCAGCTTTCAATACAAAATTTGAACACTTTTTTACTCAAATTAAAAACATTCAGTAAGGATTTCATGGATTTCAATAAATTTCTGTGATAAGAATATTTTACTCAAAGATGAGCATAGTATATCTTTAAAGATTCCATGTTTCCAAATTTCTTCTTGAATGTATACGCATATGTCAACAATTAATTACGGTCTGTAACAATCCACGAGTAAATATTTTTTCTTATGATAGATGTAAATTTAACAAATCCAAATGAAATCATTTCGAATCGAGAACATTTGATTCTTTCCTCGCTTGAAATGAACGACTTTATGAAATGGCGATCGAATGATATGGACTTATATATCTTTCCACTCTAAAACAGAATTAAGGTCGTCATGGTGTAACTTTACCATCTTCTTGAAATGTTTGTACTAATGATTAAAACAAAGCGATTATTCATAATTTTTGTTTAAAATTACTTTACAATATCATTACCATTTAACATTTTTTTCGAAATTATTTTGAAGTTTTAAGACTGCTTATATTTATGAGAAATTTGTCTGCAATTGTGGCTACCAGTGGGGAAAACACATTTTAATATTCAAGTTAATACTGAGATAATTTCATTTTAACTCGTGTTTTTAAAAGCATTCAAGAACAAGTGTTTGTTTGTTGTGAAAGATTTAATTTTATTTCATCTCGTGAATTACAAAAACAGCTATTTTAAACAGTATTCATCTTACAGACAAAAAAATAAATATTCTTTTTTTCTTGTGAAATATGATACAAAATAAATGACAGTCACTGAGTTTAATAAATTAATTAATAAGTCAATAATGAGATTTGAAAATATATGAGTGATTCTCTTGTTTTTCGCTTTTACACTCAAGGTCACCGTGATGTTGACCTGCATGCGTCAGTGCCCTATAGAATTCTTCTATTAATTGCGCTGATCATTCTGTGACGTTTGAAGGTTGTTGGTCTAATGTTTAATTTGTTTATGAACAAAAACCTTGACTTTCACGCATAAGTGCCAAAACAATACAGGTCTTCTATTGAGTGACATCGTAAGAACGATCGGCATTTTGCAAAACAACAAACATTTATTCTATTTGAAATTTTCAAGTTAGTTGGTTCTAGTATTCCTTACTTGAATACTGTTCAATCAACCTTAGGATATGGTGTCTGCTTTTTAACTTATTCTTTTGACGTCTTATTTTTATTAGTTTCGCCTATTGTTTTCTTGTTTAGGGCACACACAAATAATTGGAGAACATACGCCGCTTTTCGTGAAATGGCCAGGAATTGGCGCAATGAAGGTTCCATGATAACAGTCGAATGAACACATCTTCGGATGTTTCTTAATTCAAAATTTCACCATTTTCAGGTTTACATGTTTAATTATGCTTAACCTGGAGCAAGGTGGCGAGGACGATAACATGCACTTTTCATTACAGTCCATAAACAGGGTTAATCAAATCGAGACTGCAACATTTTCAATTTTGTCGTTTTTGGCATTCTTTAAAGATTCTTATTTTCTCAACAAAAATGTCCATTTTATTTTGTTCTTCATTCTTGAAACTTTCTTCTAGTGTGGGCGTAGTATCATAACTCAATAAACTTTTATTCTATACTAAAATGCTAAAATGAAGTAAATTGTATTATGCGGCAAGTGATTTCCGGTCAACAAATCTGGTTTTGTAACTCTACACTATATTATATGGTGTCTTAAATCCGAGTAAAATATTAACAAATAAGATTACTCAGATGAAGAATCATGTTCAATTTCTATTATTCAGAATTGTAATATTTTGAAGAATATGTGTCAGTAAAAATGCATTTTTCGTATGGAAAGACCATCGAAACAAAAGGCTATATCTGATTTGAACAATGGGGCGTAGGGGCCGTAGCTTCTAAGTTTAAATCAGAGTGCCGAGTGTTATGATGTTTTTCCTCTTTTTATTATCGGAAAAAATAAAAACACGTTCTCTTTGGTCAAAATATAAAACCCCAGAAAAAATACCAATGAACGAGCATTTGAATATTATATTTTAGTATTGCTTTCTCTACTTCAACATAAATAAACCTTAGAATAAATGATCCAATCAATGGATATGCTCTGGGGTGCTTGTAACTAATACCTGCTCTCCAGTTAACGCACTGTGCATGAATATGTTTGTATACGATTTAACTTTGACACATTTTCAAATGAGAGCCACAAACTATGATACAATCATGTGATATACCTTACAACCCTAAAGGTAATTATGTGTGTAGAAGTAAAGTGTAGAGCAGTGTAATGCACTCTACTTTGATAGTTTGTTTTTGTATGGACCGGTGGCCGTAAATTACACAATAAAGAATTGAATTGAAACTTAAATGTCAGTAATTCATTTATAATTAAATGTTTGTTGTATTTAATATGTTGTTTATAAGTTATTTTATGCTGATGCAAAAATAAAATTGCTTGTAATTTACTCAAAATAATTTCACAATCATATGGTATTCTATTTGTTCATCGCTTAACTAATCTTTTGAAATATGCTTATTCTTATATTGCATCTTTTCTAGATATAGACGGTACTTTTATAGCGCTTATTATGGTCAGGGGAGTGGCCCGATTTACATAAACAGATTGGATTGTAGTTCATACTACACGAGTTTCGACCAATGTCAATATTCCATAGATAACTTCTACAGTTGTGGTCATAGTAGCGATATGTCAGTTATGTGTTACGGTAATTTAAACATCGTATATTGTAAATTACTTTGGTGAACATTTGTCTATGGAATAAATGACCATACACGTTTCGTTGCATGTATTCATTTGAGATAGCAATACTTTTCAATGTACGAGAATCTTTTTGCAGTATTTATCATTTCCTTGTTAATACAAATGATCCTTAATATGTTTTGTTATCATCTGAGGTGTTTAAAAAAGTCATTAACAAATACATTTTCGTTATCTTTAAGGACCGACATTAAATATAACCGATGCTAGACTGGTGAATGGTACAAGTTTAAGCGACGGGCGTGCTGAAATAAAAGTAAACGATACATGGGGCACTATTTGTGATACAAATTTTGACATTCACGCTGCAGATTTATTCTGTAGGCTCATTGGTCTGAGGTAAGTTATAGATGAATACATATTTTCATCTTTGTCTTACTTTGAAGTATGACAAATTGCGAATATAATTGTTATATTCGTTGAAATACATAACATTTAAAAGGAACACGTATTATCAGCTATCCTTTCATAAAGGCTTTCAGATCATTGCATTCATGTTGTTTTACATAATAACACAAAACTTTGCAGTAAAACATTATTAGAGAATCTGCAAAAGTTACGTTTATTTCCTATCTTTGTTAAAACCAACAAGTAGCCCAAGTGCATGTTTATGCAAATTGTCATTTATAACTTAAGACTTACTTGTTTTATAATGTATAACACATGCTATATGAATAGCCACCCTGCATATGTATGAGCATTGGATCATTTCCATGACAGGGCAGCCCAGTATTTTACAGGAGCTTTTTATGGAGAAGGCAGTGGTCCTGTGTTTATTGATCAACTTTTCTGCGAAAGCTACGATTATACTCTGAGTGACTGTCAATATTTGTTTTTGAATGAATGTAGCCATGCTAAAGATATCTCAATCGTTTGCAACGGTAAATAACTTTAAAAAACGTGTTTGTTCCTTAGAATATTTATTTGAAAGTACACATGATTGATTGAATTTTTATACATGCAAGTTTGTTGAAGGTTTTATTTTGCTCAAAGCTACATCCTACGGTATTAATAATTCATCTGATATGCTGTTTCTAATTAAATGTTAAATAATACTTGTAGAATGCATACGATTAATAAGAGAATTGTTTTTTAATTAGTTGGTATCAGTAGCGTCATATAATACTTGTTATTTGAACAGAATGTGGACAGCCAGATATCTTTTTCTGGGGTGTTGATTTTTTCACTTATAATGACACGAATTTGTTTGCGGATTGCTCATACTATAAGACTTACGTTGGGAAGCTAAAACTGACCTGTAATAATCAAACACAAGAGTGGATAACAGAAGGGGAGTGTCAAGAATACAGTATGTATTATTTCATTTTTTGATGAAGTTTAAACTTATTAATAAGGTAAAATAACAAGGAAGTGTTTTATTAGATCACCTGAAAAGTATGAATACAAAGAACAAGAAGAGAAAGCGACGTTTCCAGAACACAGACCTCGACAACATCTAGTCTCACATACATATTTTCCGAATGTATTGCAGAAAAGATCAGAAAACGTAAGAACCGCTCATTGAATGGAGCGATTTCTAATACTTAGTTACGCTAAACAATAAATCACAATGTACAAGGATGACACACAAAGGAATGTCGTACGTGAATGTACGTGACAGTCAACAAAGCAAACCGAATATATTCATTTTTCTTAATTTTAACTACATTTTATCCCGCTTGGTAATTCTGGTTTACGGCTGGTTCAACAGCTAGAACAGTATGACAGTATCAAATAATAGTTAATTTGTTTGAAAATGTATAATTTTCATGTGCATGTTTTGCCAATAAATGCACAATTTCAACATGTAATATGTATATGCTTTACAGAATTTCCGCTGGATATCACTGGTGTACGGCTGGTTGACGGACCAAATACAACAGCTGGTAGAGTCGAAATAAGGTCTTTAGATACATGGGGAACGATATGTGATGATGCTTTCGGAATAAAGGAAGCCCACGTTATATGTCGAATGCTAGGATACGCGTAAGACGATTCTAAATTACATCATTACAATCATATTCTATTATCGAATATTTCTCGAAGATTAAACAGCATGCATGCATGCATAATTAATTATGTGCTACTTTATGTATTACTTTTAATCTTTGCCTGTATAAAGAGTTTCGTCTTAAAATTCGCTGTTACATTATAACATCAATTCAAACCTGAGAACTCGTATATTATAAAAAAATAACAATACCACTTAATCGAACCACACTACTTAATAATAAGAAATATTTAAATTTACAGATTCAACAAGCTTAAAAAATCTTAATGAATCGATGACTAACAACAGTGATGTCAAGAGCTGAAAGACTGAATAAACTATACGTGTCTCCTTATAAATTTAATGTTTTTTGTTGATATAGTTTTTGGCAGTTTGGGATTCTTGCTACCAAAACGTTTAAAAGAATGAGAACTTCTTAATTCAGCGCCGAAAAAAAGAGATAGAAATCTTGTACTGCCATGGGCGATATCTTTTCCCAGAATATTAGACTAGTACAAATTGTATTATCTAATCATTCGAGAGCAATTACCTTGCAGGCCAGCTATGGGATATTTTGCAAGCTCACATTTTGGAGCAGGCAAAGGGCCAATATTTATTGACGATCTAAGTTGTCAGGAAGACGCCGAACATTTAAACAATTGCACGTACGAAACATATGATAATTGTAACCATGATGACGATATAGCTGTTGTATGCACAGGTTTGTATGACCACAAGTTCTATTCTAGTCACATACATCGCGAGTACGCACGTCATAGCTCATTTCTTTCAATATTTATGCAAATTATTTGTTGCTGTTCTTTTTTGGTTTTACGCCGATTTTAACAAATGTGTCTTCATGGTTCGGCGGTCAGCTTATCTGGCCTGCTTCCCGGGTATTAAGCCAGTCAATTACTCAACAACGCTGTGGGTTGGAATCCTGACATGTACTTTTGATTCTTTCATGTAAGGAAGCTATCCAGCTATCTCACGAAACGTTGTTTATTCTAATTAGATGCCGTTTCTTGCCTCAAATACATGGAAGGGCACCTGAGGTCTTCCTTGACCAGTAAAGCTGGAAATTGACCATATGACCTATACAATGTTTGTTACGACGTTACGACCATAATAATGATAATAGATAAATATACCAGTAGTAACCATTTTTCGCCCGTATATCGAGCCAGTGACCCCTTGGATAGAAACCTATCTTGTCCCTGTTGAATATTCGGACGGACCATAAGATGTCCTCATCATATATCAACTATTGTACATTTTTAGCTCAAAACAACAGATCGATATTTATAGTTATACTGATGTATGAAAACGTGTGTTTGCCTAGGAAGAGGTTTCATATGAAATGTCTAAAAACGATTTTGCACTTAAATCATTATATATCCAAGATTTATTATATAAAATCATATAGAATTTAGAACAAAGTAAAAATTACTAGTAGTAGCTTTTTTAATCACATCAATTGACAATATATTTATGTAGATTGTGGTGATCCAACACCAATCAATGGCTTTATTAACTCGTCAAAGACTAATTATGGTGCTGCAGTCCATGTTTCTTGTGATAAAAGTTACATGCTGGATGGTTACAGTGATATCATATGTCAGATAAATGGAGAGTGGACTAATAAACCAAGCTGTAAATTAATTGGTAACTAGATATCATAACAAATATAAATCAGTATTTAAAATATAAATATGACACATAGGAGGAACTTAATATAACTTATACATTGAGTCAAGTTAAAATGAAGTTTACATTGTGCACGAATAAAATCGTGTTTTATGAACGATTACATAATGAACGTTCGAAGTTTTACAATGTTTTGTAATCATAGAAAAATAAATATTTAGTCATATAAATATACTTTGTTATCACGGCTGTAACCGTTTTCTTTACTTTTCTGTCACATTATTCGAGTAGATATAATTCGCTTATAACCTTTTAGACTATAGCTTAACGTATTCATTTTAATATGATTTAATTGTGGTTTTTGAGTTTATATTCTTTTTGTTATATATAACTTTACTAATAAGGTTTTATTGTATCAATAATTAGATTGCGGTGATCCAACACCTGACAATGGGAAAGTTAACACGACAGAAACTACAAACGGAACAGTTGCTCTGATATCATGTGACAATGGTTATACATTATCAGGTCAAGCAGTTATATCATGTCAGTCAAATGGAACTTGGACACAAAACCCAGCCTGTGACATCGTTGGTAGAAATCTCATGTTATATAGAAACATTGTCTATGGTCTTTAACTTTACAGTGGTACACTTCGTATCTCAAAATCAGTATTAAAAATATCAATGTGTTTTTATTTCATTCTGATAGCTATGAAATATGCTTTATTATATGTAAACATAGGTTTTAATATATTCTATAACGTGGGATTACACAATTATATTGTTTTTGTCTATTTAAGAAATGCATGGCGCTTAAATCGGGTATATTTTATTAACTATAATATATGAAAGCAGAAAATGCATAAATAAATGCATAAACTTCTTAATGGGTCTTCATTAGCTTAAACGGTAAGGATCTGCATTATAAAGCCTACATTGATACTTTTCAAATATTTATGTGTTTAGTTGATTAACGTAATGTTATTATTGATTATTTTAATAATTGTTAAACACATTTTAAGATTGTAAAGTACCAAAGCCAAATAATGCCAATGTGACATTAATTGGAAACAGAACTACATTTGGTGAATCAGCGAGTATAAGTTGTTGGACAGGTTATAACCCAAAGGTTAATTCCAACGTTATGTGTCTATTCAATGGCACATGGGAAAAGTGGGCCGAGTGCGAAATTGTAGGTAAGAAACTAAAGAATTTTAAATTTAAATGTTATTCTAGAATTCCAATGAGCAGTCTTGAAGTAAATTAACCCTTGATACATGCAATCTTAAACTTTTGATCGGCTAAGTTTTAAATAAAATTATTCAAAAAAGAAAGTTTTCATAACCCTTTTTCAGTTTTTCAACTTTGTTTCTTCATTTGTCATACATATTTTAAAACTATTGAATATTTGTATTGCCAATTATTTACCTTCTACTTGTTCACTCTTTGCAAAAATTTATATTCATTAAAACGTAACGAAAATATTTTGCAAAAATAGTTTTGATTTTTATAAATATTTCTAACCAGATTGTGGTAATCCTGTTCCTGACAAGGGCTCTGCAAATAGTACAAATACAACATATAATACAGTGTTAGAGATAACATGTGAGTCTGGATATAACCTTACAGGATCATCAGTCATCAAATGCCAAGAAAATGAAACATGGACAGATTATCCAGTATGCGATACATCAGGTAAAACATTGATGATTATCAAATTCATCCGTTAATTTTTATTTATGCATATATACTAATTCATAATTAAAAACGATGAAATGATGAAAGGATGTAAACGTTATCTACCATTTTTAGATTGTGGACAGTTCGCAGTAGTGAATGGTGAAGTGAACACATCACTTGGTACAAGTATTGGATCATTGGCTACTGTCAAGTGTGATGATGGTTATGATTTACAAGGTTCTTCAGAAATTATTTGTACAACAACTGGATGGAACGAAACAGTATCATGTCAAATACAAGGTACATGTTTACATCTCACTATTCAATGGAAAAAAGCAGCTTTATATGAATAAAAACATTTTCTCTGTATGTGATTTGCTAAAACATGTATACAATCCATAACAAATTTATATCTTTCTCTTCTTGTGACTCGTGCAAACAGATGCAATAAAATTCATGATAGCATATGTATAAAAGTTACGAGATTTTGATATAAGCCTTTTACATAAGGTATGTGTAAACATGTAAACACATTTTAAAATGTTCTTTGCTTAGTGTTTGGACTTTTCGTTAAATGATACGTCTTTTTGTAAACTGGAAAAAGAGTAATATTTTTCTGTAATCAATCATTGATGTTTACCTTTAATGAAGTAACGCCTGTGCTATTATATTTGTAAATTTTAATCAATGGCTTAAATATAGTTATGTTTCATAATGCTGACTATTAATTCCTTTAACAATATATTAAAGTATGCGATGATCCTTCCCCGGACAACGGAAAAATAACTGACACTGATGGAGAGGACGAGTTTGTTTTTGGCAATTATGTAAAGATAGAATGTAAGACCGGGTACAACATAGAAGGTGACAGTGTTATCACGTGTATACACGGAGGGAATTGGAGTGCATCGCCGAAATGCCATTTAATTGGTAAATTTTTGTTTACCAAATGTTGTAATGTTCAGAAAATGCTAGTTATCGAGTCAAATATTTGTTAAAATGATAGATATCAGGCATTTGTGAAACAGTGAATATGATAAAAGCTCATCGTTAAAATAATCTCAATAAGTTTTTAGGAGAACAAAAACATGTATAAATGACAGCATTTTATTATCCTTGTGAATTAACTTTATACATTATCTTATAATAGTTTGTGAAAAGCATACTGTGCCTCTTCATGGTACTATGGATGATTCTGCCGGTAATGAATACAACTCTGCAGTGACATTTACCTGTAATGAGGGCTATCTTTTGGTTGGTGAAAAAACTAGTACTTGTGGAGACGATGGTGATTGGAGTAGTGAGCCACCAACTTGCGAGAAAAAATGTGAGGATATTTGTCAATTCCATTATTTGCAATGGTTTCCATTAATTTTATTATTTAATATTCCCTATCATACAAATATAGTCTTTTAGGGAAATATCTATCATATTCCAGTCAATAATATGACAAATCAGGTTTGTTGTGACCTTAAAATATTAAAAAACCTACATGAGTTTAAATGTTTATTCCTGAGAAAAGAACACACAAAAAACAAATGATTTATTTGCAAATGTCTTATTATTTCTGCGAAGTGTTCACCCATAATTATTTTCTAAACGTTTTCTTGCGCTACAAACGTTTACACTTTCATATGACGTAACAAAGTCCTTTGATAGTTCTATGTAACGTTATACATTTACAGCGGACGTTGGAGGAACTTGCCTTAGTAAAGAATACTGTTTGATGGCCGATTCATTGTGTATCAACTCAGTATGTAAATGCCTTACAGGAATATATGACAGCAAATCAAAGATATGTGATAAAAGTAAGCTCGTTTATAAGGATAGAAGTATTTTACTTAACGGATATATCGGGTGTATATGGTATATATATACTCGCATATTTAGATATTTTAACATTTCAACATAGCAAAGGCATATACTCATAATATATTGGTGCCTTATCATGTCCGTAATATTCATCAAGAGATATAATTCCATTAACCACATTAAAGTATTAAGCAATAATGAACGATGTTCATTTATCTAAACTTATACAAATATGGGCTTTTAAGTAAATACTAAATGATATTTACCAATTAGAAAATCCGTGTCGATATATCTTTTATTTCCAAACCTTTTTAAAAAATCATATAAATATTATAATGGCTTATCAAATCTAATTGTGAATACGAAAAAAATCAACATTTTTAAAATTTCAAACCCAAAATCCGACGAATTCGTAATATTCAAACATAAACATCAGGTCTATAATAGGTCTTTTTGACATTCCTTTTAATATGCTTTGCGCCAAAATTTCTTTGTAATTAAGTTAATGCATCGGACTTGACTTCAAATCATATTCTATTGTCATTTGATGTTTTTATTGTTTCCTTTTAGTATAATTTTTTCTCATTGGAAAAAAAATGCAAAAAACTAGGAATATACGTGTTACATCTGATGCTTTCGAAAAAGTAAGAATAGTCCGATATCGACCTTTTGTTCGTTTATTTGTTTTTTTTACTCTTGGATTTTTTTATTGTTAATGTTTTTTGTTACTGTTTATTGAGTAAAAAACAGTGTATACATTTTGATAATTACCATTCGAAGAAATGTATTTCAAAGTTACGTATAGTAATTGAAGATTATTAATCATAATTTATATTTCAAAGTGCCACTGTTACCTTACGGGACTGATGAAGGAGATCACTTTATATCAAACACTGATGTTTGTGGACCTGATATATCTTTCCTACCCGGAATGCCTGTGTCTGGTTCAATGCGAAAACATTTGTTTGTAAGTATACAATAGACGTACTGACATTATTAGACAAAAGGAAACATTCTGTACAGTATATTGTAAGCAAAAGAATAGAAATACTGATTATTGTTTTTAAAAGATATAGCGTATTCTATTTTTTAACCATAATCATTTCGCAAAGAAAGAAATATAAAATGATCCAATGATTTAAAACTTTGCAATTTGATATGAGATAAAAAGGAAACTACGAAATGTGTTCAATGTATTATGAAACACAATCAAAACAGGTAATAAGATCTTAAAGCTTACAAAAACCCGTATAAAAAGATTTATTCATGTTAAGTTGTGTATCATACAAATGCCCATCTCATTTGAGTTGAAAATTAAATATGATTAGACCAAAAAAAATATTTAGTTGAGGGCAGTATTACTTGTGAAGCAAAACATGTCCTAGAGAAACATTGTGAAACACGTTATTAACAAAAATATTGGACATAATGTTTCTACTGTTACTGTGCATCGCATTCAACATGGTAAAGGTGTTATTCGAAATAACATACTAAAACAGATAAAAGTGGTTCCTTTGTTAAACGTCGCACAGCACCTTCTGCTGACGTCGTATGTAAATTACATAATATTATTATGTTGTAAATTCTCCTACCCAAAGAGAAATGGAAGCTAAGTGTGGGGTATGTCTACGTACTGTCAACAGAGCAAATCTAAAAGCAAAACTCAGGAAAACAGCCGTGTTCATAGACTTAGTGATGCACATATTTAAAAACGACGTTCTCGATCATGGCGTCTATATCTCTGTCATAACTGTCGAGAATGTAAAAATGTTGTCACTACAGATGAGGCTGTGTCTTTTATCGCCTGTATTCAAGGTCGACGTCGTGTTAGCTACGTTTGAACTAATGAGTAGACCTAAACGAACTACAGTTTGTAAAACGAGGTGCATTAGCAAAGCGCAGAGATGCAGCTCCCATGAGCTTTGGTATATAGGGTATACTGAAACGTACGCTACAGAAGCGTAAGATGTATACCATGCCCGGTCTTACAAAGGCTCTTCTCAAAGACGAATGGAGTAAACTTAAGCAGTCATGCATGAACCGGCCTTATAAAGCTTACCAAAAACGTGTAGAATGATTTACAATTGTCATGGATCCTAGATTGAGTATATTTTGCAATAAAACACATATGAGTAAATAAATAAGGCAAGTTTTAAAACTCTTTCTTAATGAATTGAACACCTCTCGTAATGTTTGTATTGAGTTACTGTAGGTGTCATCACAGGCGGGCCTGTATTTTAAAGTTTAGTTTTGCTTCTATTTGATTCATTGATAATTAATAGTATATGTTGTTGTGTTATTTTAGAAGGGATAAGGTTAGATTCATGCAGTTTAGATCCAGAATAAGTTTTACAAAATAATACATCTTTAACGATGGATATTTGATAGTTTATTGTTTAAAGTAAATTTTCAGGATTATGCATTGCTGTTTTTTAGGTATGTTCCTATGGCTTTGTAAGCTTTGACAACAAGTATACAAACCCGACCCCGCCAGAAAATACAAACAGCATTGTGACAAACGGCGAGGAAACCATCATAGCACCATTTTATGGTCCCATTGATAAAAGAACATCAGGCCCTGTTTACTTTAGATCATATGATATCTTGAACTCGTATGACAAAATGAAAGAGGATGAAGAATTGATATCTTACATAGAGAATATTGTGATAAAGTTTGGGGATAGGGAAACATTTGATGCCAGCTTTGTAATGATAGCTACCTGGCATGAAGCTAGAACAACAGTTGCAGGATTTGATTCTACAAAGGTGCGTGCATTTTTATATATGTTTTAGGGTATAGTTTCGAACTAATACGTGAATTAGAATAGATGTCTCCCGCATTTTCATACTGATTGATTGCATCATTTACTGACTTATATGTCAAATTTGACTAAGTCATTGTATAAATATCGACCTGTGTCGTACGACGCATTACTCACCCCAAATGAGGGTGAAAATGACTCCGACATTAAGAAGTCCGTGTAGAGGCGACGATTTTATTTTATAAAACGCAATATATCTTTTCAAGTGATAAAAATCGTTTCTTGCTTCCAAGGGATCTTTGTATCCCAGATTTTAATATTGCAAGTGCAATTGATAGTTCGACTGTGATACTATTTATTCAAATATTCAAAACTACTTTCACTTTCGGTTTCATTTTAAACTAACAATGGACGAAATACTATCACACGTGTTGAACGAAATTGGGTTTGTAAAACCACTAAAGGATTGACAGAAGGAGTGTTTGATGCATGTTTTGGGTAAAACTGATGTAAAACTATTCTGCCAACAGGGTATGAAAAAAGTTTAATCTCTCGAGTGGCCCCGTTTGCGTTATGTTCTATCACTTCCGTGTTAAAGCCGCCATGTCAAAAGTAGTTCGTTTCCATCATGCTTAGAGTAGTTTAACACAGGTCAGTAAAGCCGGTGTACATAATGTGACTAAGTTACAAATATTTCATCAGAAAATATTTATGCAACTATATGAATTTTTTATATAGACGATAAAAAATCACATTGAAAAATATGTTTTTCTTTTTTTACTTGTATTGGTTTTGCATCATACCAAATAAATTCTGCCGTTATTGTATTAACATTCTTAACGAATTGAAATCTTTTCTCATTTAAGACAGTCAATGTGTGTAAAAGTGAAATGTATATTTGTGCCGTCTGCTTTAGAGATAATATTTCTTTGTTTTTGTTCTTCTATTTGATTTGTGTTCAGTTTTTATTCATTACTAGTTGATTTTATGACAAAGTCTTATCTAATCAGTCGCCACATTGCCATAACCAATTACAGATTGACAGTTCAAAATGAGGTCACGCTACATATTTTTGAATACGACCAAAATAAAAGTATAAGTGACTGGGTGAGGTTAACGTGTTGCACGACTTCAGGATAAATTATTGTCTATTTTCACATCATCTTCCTGGTCTGCCATGGTTTAACATCGATCATTTTTTTGTAGAAATCCACATTCCAAGCAGTACTAGTATCAGACGGAAAGTCAACGTACGTGTTTTATATTTATGGACATGGTTTAATGAATTGGCGACCAAATGACTCGGAGTTCGCATCAAACGTACCAATATGGGTTGGCCATAATGTTCAAAATGTTGATTCGGGATTATCATTTTCACATCCCTATTCATTCACCTCTCAAGCGCTACAACTAGACTCACAGCCTGAGGTGTCATCAACAGAAGATGGTAACAACCTCGCCTTTCTTTGTTTAATACTATAAGTATAACAGAGTCTAATAATTACCAACATGATAAAACTTATACATGAATACACATTGATTAGGCGAACTTCTGTTGTCATATTAAATGTTTTGTTTGAGTCACTAGTACACAAACGATAAACTGACACTTTTATTTCCTTTAGATGTTGCTGGACTTGTCTTTAAGCCTTTGCATCAACTCGACATGAATCATCAAAACGATGCTGTTGATTGTATTAATTGGTATAACGCCAATTATGACAACAAGAAGAACATAGATTATCTTGCAAGTCTTATGCCAGAATGTCCATGTGATATATGGCTCTCTCGTTTCGACCCTTGGTTTTGGAGAATAGGCTTACAAAGATGGCGGCGGGATGTGAATCATATCTGTGTTGATATGCTTCATGCTGGAAATTTTAGACAGTATGGAAAAGTAAGTTGTGAAGAAGGATAAATTGAACAACTGACGGTATTATTATATCAAATACTTAATAGCAACGCAATATCAGTATTTTTATAAAGTATAAAAACGTCTGACATATTACATACTGTGTTATGTATAATAATTACTTTTATAATCTTATATTATACAAAATTCATTTTCAGTCGTGTTGTTACGACGTTAAGACATGGCTTTGGGTATATGAACGTCCCTTTGCAGGAGGATTTCAACTTTACCACCCACGCTATCCATTACAACATATTTTGAATGATGTAATCTACAAGACGAAATGTTGTGTTTCCTCAAATCATTGCAACTTTTTCTATGAGCTTAGACCAACTGGGTCGTGCTATGCGTCCTCTCCATATGACTTTGGTATGTATGTATGTTTGTTTGTTTGTTTGTTTGTTTAATTTTACGCCTTTTTCCAACAGTATTTCAGTCATATAGGCGGGTAGTTTCCTAACCATCGTTCCTGGAGAATTACACCAGTACTAGACTACCTTCCTCCGCGCTAAACTACCAAAGCATCTCCCGGGGATGCATGTATGTATATATGTATGTATGTAAGTATGTATGTATCTATGTATGTGTGTATGTGTGTATATATGAATGTATGTACGTGGTTGCGTGCGTGTTCGTGTTTTCGTACGACTATCATTTTTATATGTTTCTGTTTACATAATGAAATGAAAACACACATGTGAAGATATATATTACAATTCAATCTGCATTCTTTCATGACAATTTAGAAAATGTTTAAAAGGGAAGGCAATGTCTAAGGACCTGGTTGCTTGAACATTGCATACATTATAAGCATATAGTAACAGTTTCGTGTCCCATAAATAACAAAGCGTTTTTATTATTTTAGGTACATTTTGGGGTGATCCACACTTTGTAACTTTAGATAGAAAGAGTTTTACATTCAACGGTCTTGGCGAGTATACGTTATTACATGTTGACACCGATAACTTTACCCTCGACATTCAAGCAAGAACTGAAAGGGCACTTCAAAAGAATGGTAAACTATCAGATGCAACAGTCTTTAGCGCATTTGCCGTGAAAGAATCCTCAAATGCTTCCCTCCATGTTGAGCTTAATAAAGCGAAAACAGGTAATGTTTCTCATCATGTTTATATGACACAGCTAATGCTATTTCAATATATCAACATTATGTTACAAAATTTTATTATAGCGTTCGTTTATGGTCTACATTTCAATTTTCATAGATTAAAGAGTGAGTTAAAAGAGTGAATTCTAGTCTATTTTGATTCACAATAAACTTACAACAAATTGAAAGTTAAATAAAGCTATTGTATCCTTTTGAAAATGTTACTTTGCTTCTTTATATATACTGAACTCAAAAGTGATATAAAATTTTGACCACAACAGGGGATATATATAAACTAGCAAAAACATTTTTTCTATATATATAAAGGTCACGGTATTAACTTCTTTATGCTATTAACAGCTGTAATAAGAATAATAAACAATATAAAAAACTAGAAAAAGGCTTACATAGTTGAAACAATGGAGCCAACAATATTCTATGAGAATTAAAGTCTCGGTATGATCTTGTCCGTTCAACACTATTTCTATGATAGGAATGGAGGAATGGCCCATTATTTAGATTAAGAAAGGAAAAATAATCTGAAAACTTTCCAATTAACTTATAAAGACTGCAAGTTTTTAAACATCTAAATGAATTTTGGCGTTATATATCGTTTTTTTTTATCGACACATTTTCTAACATTTACATTTTCAGATTTCGTTCAACCTGGGTTCAGTCTCATGTGGCTACAATTTGTCAAATTGACTTATTTAATATTACCCGACACTAAAAATATTGAAAATTTGTAAAAGAACTTAAACATCATTTACAAACAGGGATTTTTTTGGCAACTTAAAGATCGATTCCCAAAAGGGTAGTAACTAGAATATATCTGTTATTTTTTTATTAGTTTTGATATACATGAACAGAATAAAACGTTCCGGAACAAACTATCATGTATTATTTTACTGTTTTTTTTACATAGGATTTTAACCACTTTAGCAAATAGCTTGTACATTTGTCATTAACGTCTTAGGGTATATGCAGCCATTTGGGGTATTTTGTTAAATTCTAACAATAATTCTTTCATCAAATCTATACTTGTATAAACTACGTAAATCTTTATATTCATTTTTGATTCGAATTAAAGTTTCAGAAAACGTTACACACTATGTAATCTAAATGATTACATGCTAACAAACACATACCAATTAATAATTACACAGCTGTTTACCGAGTGGCTGTTTTATGCTTTGCAGCATGAACGATTTACACGTAATATTATTGAAGAGAAATCAATCAACGTATAGGTCGTTAACGTACATTGCTAGTAAATAAAAATGTATAGCTTAATATTTCGAAAGTTGCTACTGATGAGTATAGGCCACAGCGCACGAGCAATCTGATTTATCCGATCTTAAACTTTACGCTATTTGCGGTAGAATGAGCACTTTATTTTGATGTTTCTGTTAAAAAAAGTAAATAAAATAACATTAAATTTGATTGTCATAAGAAACTGGTGTAGAATAAGCAAAAAAAGTTTTTTTTTAAAACAAGAATTGAGGTTTATTAATAATTGATATGTTTGAACAAATTGCGATTATTCGTATTGAATAGGTCATGCAAAAAAAACTTTTTTATTATTATTCAACAGAAATGACCATAATTTTAATAGATACTTCCAATTTCTTATGAGATTCAAAAGGAGACCTAGAATTTTTAACAAAATCGGCTGATGGCTGCCGGGTTGTGACAAAGTTAAAAATAATTGACTTTTGACTAAGAATTATGCATTTGTATAAAAATGATTACGTGACACTTATTCATTATATAATTTATCTATGTCAAAACGATTTCCAAATTGATAATTATATAACAGTGAGATAGACGTTTTGCCAATTATACCTTTATATACTTGTATATGTAAGCTAACGGTATCCTTTCAGCTATATATTAGAACATTTTTCCAAATAAATAAAAGTACAATGTTATAGATAATTACATTGTCTAAAAGCAATCATTTACAACCATGCCCATGTGACATGCTTAAGAAAAGAAAAATTGTATATAGAATGTGTATTATGCCTAACACTCGCCAATATACCTTTTTTAAATCAATTAATGCAAAATGCATGTATCCATTAACGTTATGTTCGTCCAATCCTCGTTAAAACATTATATTGAATTATTCTTTATTAGGTATGATTATTTACGCAAACAAAGCTGACATTACTAGCCAGTTCTATGCAAATACTGATCCAGAAAATCCATTTGTTTATATTACTGAGGAACCGTCCGGAGGAGGGACTTTGATTATTTCAAAAAGGGATGATACTCTTAGCGTTTTATTTCCAACAAGTGGTAAACATTTTGAGTATTTTATTTGACAAATCCTTCTTTTGTTTATATCTCTGAACCGTCCAGTGGTACAGAAATACGCTTCATTTCCAATGATTTGTAATTATTTGAGCTTTTCATTGATAGTTGGTTTGACAAAACCGTGCAGTGCCTGTTTTCTGACAGTTGTACATTTTTATAGATATGCCATTTGTTTTGATACATAAACCAAAGTTAATGTTAAAAACATGAATTCAAAGCATTTGTTTTAGGCGAGCTGCCATGTTGTTTATGCCATTGAAATTATGTTTCTTGTTGATGAATTTAAATTGCAGGTATCTCTCTTAATATATCCGTGAGCGTGGAAATGCTTTCTTTAAACACCGGGGTGCCAAAGGTATTACAAGGGCTGACGACTGGATTGTTGGGAAACTATGATGGTAATCCCGAGAATGACTTTACAATGCCAAATGGAACTGTCCTCCAAGGAAATCTTACGGAACGAGAGGTTTTTGATTACGGAAAGACATGTATGTCCTAAATAAGTACAAAACAGTGTAGTCATTGCACATAAGATTTACATTGTACTCGCTTAGTTATAATCAAAACGATTGTCTATTTGGAAATATTTTGACGTCCTTACTCTTCAAAGAAGCTTTTACAAACTAAAACTTGCGATGCTACGTGTTGTTCAGCACTTTAAACAGTTGCCATATAGCTAGTCTCGTTGCTGGAATATTTCCTTGATTTTCCGTAGTCTTGAGTCTTGAGAATAAAAATACTAAGTCGTTGCATGGGAGAGTTATAAATCTTCCATTGCTAGCTCGTGAACCCCATTGTCATATGACTTTTTCTTTAGCAAAATGTAATTTATACATAATATGGTGTAAATCTATTATTTGAACATGTTTTATTAAAGAAATTGTAAAAGCATATTAGACTTACTTTATTTATATTTATGATTCAAGCCATTTTTTTAATTTAAGGGTCGATCAATTCAAATGATTCTGCATTTATTTATGAAGACGGCCAGTCGCATTTTGATTTCCATAATGACTCGTATATTCCACGGTTTCTTGATGAAGCTGATCCTGACAAAATATTGGAAGCGGAAAAAGCTTGTAACGGCTCACAAAATATCGAATGTATTTTCGACCTCGTATTTACTGAGAAAATGGAAATAGCTAATCAAACAAGCATCATCAGAGGGGACTCAGACTCTACTACAGCTGAACTCGGTATTGTAATCGATTTTCTATTTTTACTTTCATTGTATTGATAAATGACTATTTACTATATGTATATAAAAGGTATCTCCATAATGTTATGCGAAAGCAGTACATATTTCAAGTTCTTAATAAGCTTTTCTTTTTATTAAACGTAAATATAATTCCAGAAATTACAGTACCAACACTTTCTGGATGTGAGGACATATATGCTACGAAAGGTCAAAATGTAAACTGCCGCATAGATTTTAATTCTGGTGATGAAGTCTACTTCATAGAAAACAGTGTTGATGCAAAGATAAATATTTCATCTTCATCAGTCACATACTTCCAAAAAAGCGATGACCCTGTGAAGATTCGGTATGTATTATGCAAAGCATAAGTAGGTTATTGATACATTATGAATACATGTATGTATTTTCTGCTATTTAACTATTATGAGTATTAATTATTTCGTTAATTGTGTAGGGCATTTTACAATGTAACACCAAATAATATAAACTCCAGAACTTATACAAACAATATTGTTTCACACATTTCATAAACACTTTCTTATAACGCAGCATCGCAACGAAAAACAAACATGGTCGCTCATCACCAAGTTTCGTGTTAAATATCGTTCTTTGTACACTGTGTAATGGTCATGGCGTGTGCAGCAATAAAGCACGTGAGGATAAATTTGGTGTAGACAATTTTAAATATGCCAAATGTATTTGTGAGCCGGAATATCAAGGTGAGATTTTTTGTAGTGGAAAATATAATCTAGCCACAAACAAAAATTGTAAAATATAATTTCTGTAACAATTTGCCCTGACATATTCAAACTAATCATCTTGTTATTTTGTAACCTTCATGATCTTTTTTATTTAATAAAACTATCATTGTGCTTTTATAAATGGTTTAGTCTTCTTATTACTTAAAGCACCACTAACTTAACAACAGTTACCATTGTCTGAATTATTTCACAGGAGACGATTGTGAGAATGATTTTGACGGATGCGCAGCAAATCCATGTTCACTACAAAGAACTTGTCAGTCTCTTACAGCTGACGAGCAGAAAAAACAAAATAGGACATATACTTGTGGACCGTGCCCAAAAGGTTATACAGCAGATACCGAATACGAATGCAAAGGTACCTTTTGTATTTATCATTAAGTGTCGCACTTACATTTAAGCAATTTATAAACATATATATTTTCATGACTTTCAACAAATGTGACTATTACATTTATTGATAACAAAACGTTTTCTCATTATTGAAAGAATCTCAACGGGATTCATATAGAAAAGACGAGGATTTATTCACTGTTTCTCTTAACAACCTTTGTGGATTTTTAGTGTGTTGATACGCCTTGGAGCAGACTCTGATAAACACTAGGGCAAAAACTAGTGTGTGCCTTCCCCTCATTTAACCGTTATTCATTGGGGTAAAGTTAGTGCAAAAAAACAAAGGTGTCATTCTTTGATGATAATACCTGTCTTTTTATTGTTGTTTTAGGACAGGAGGTTGAAAGGGTTATAGCTGAAATTGAGATCTTCATATTCCTTCACCGATTGTACTGATATTGTTTACTTGTTCTTTTGTACTCTAATATTTTGGCAAACAAGACACGAATTTCATTTATGTTTATGATTAATTTTATTTCAATCTCAAACATCATCATTTGAATTCTTCTCTTTAAGATGTTGACGAATGTGCAGATAATGAAGATATTTGTGATCAAGTCTGCACTAACACAGAAGGAAGTTTTGAGTGCTCGTGCAGAGGTGGTTACAAGGTGGATAGTGAAAACAAAAGCAAATGTAAAGGTACTGAAAATGAGTTCATTAACTTCGAGTACGATAGAATTAAACCATAGGCAAATGTTAAAGCAAATAATAAAATTTTTCGAGAAATAAACTTTAATATTCATTTTCAGTAATTCCTAGTTGTACCAAGTAAATTAAATAAATATATATTCATATATCATTGAACAAACAATATTTTGTGTTTGTAAACTTGACTTTATAGAGATCTGTTATCAGCAAAATATTTTAACAGTATTAAATATAACAAGACATTTTTCAGACATCAATGAATGTGACGTAGCCTTACATAATTGCACGCATGAATGTGTGAACAACGAAGGAGGATTCTCGTGTCAATGTTTTACAGGGTTCAAATTTGATTCTTCTACATGGACATGCATAGAAACTTCCGGTAAACTACTTTATATTGCCTTTTGGATTATTCAACAGCTTGAAGTTACGTTAAAAGAATAAAGAGTGTTGAGAGAGAAAAAATGGGAATGGCAATATAAGCGGAAATAGAAAAATTCACTCGGAATCCATCAATCATATAATAACATAAAATTACGTTTGTTCCTCTCAGAATCTGTCAAGTGTTGCTTGACTGGGAATGTTATACCAAAGTAGTTGCTTTAAAGAATGCGCAATCAACTATCTTATTCTTACATTATAAAATCACAAGTTTCTTCGTTCAAAATCCGTTTTTCTCATCAGTATCCAATACATTATTTGAATACAAAATACTTGCTTACAGTCCATTTACGTAAACATTGAGTTTAATTGATAATATTTGTTAAAACTAATAAATGCATTATATAGATGAGGGAAGTTGCACAAACTCAGAAAAGAAAGCCTGTATTGGCACAAGTGGCTGTAGGAAAATTGATGGAATGCCTGAATGTTTCTGTACTGACGGATTTGAACTCGACAAAACTAAAACAATTTGCAAAGGTAAATTTGACACTTCATACATTCATACAGTTGTAGCGATCACTATAAAAAGTTAAAAAATTACTCTCCATTACTAATATTTTGAATATAAAAAGTAACAACATCATTATGAAAGTCTGAAAGCCAATATCAGGAGGCGTTTTATACCCGATTTTAAAGAAACTTCTAACAGTCAATAAAGGTATAAAAAAATTTGCATTAGACATCGTACAGTCATTGAATCAATGGCTACTAGTTTTGATTATTTTACAAAATAAAATATGTTATTTCATTTTATGTCATGATTTATGTTATACTATTTTATTTTGGAACAGACCAAGCTTTAATTAACCAATTGAAATATTTTCCCTATTAAGACATAGATGAATGCTACCGAGGTGTTTGTCCACATGACTGTGTTAATACAAATGGAAGTTTTGAGTGTGTTTGTTTCACCGGATATAAGCTTTACGGTTCGACTACTTGTAAAGGTATGAAATTTGTATTTCACAATAGCTGGTAAATTTGCGTTTCGTTCGTTTTATCTGTTGTTTTTATCTCAATCATTTATTAATAAATACATCAGTTCATATGTGACATCAATGTTTTTTAATAAAGTTAATTCATGTATACAAGTCCATTCATTTAATTAAGCATGCACCATTCCCCGATTTGCATTGGCTTACAATTTAAGAACCGCATAGTTTTGTATGCAGTGTGTTGTAATTATGGAATGTTATTTAAGATGTTGATTGGAGTTATCTTTGTTTGTTTGTTTGTTTTGTATTCTTTACTAACTGCATGATAAAAATGTTAATAACCTCTTAATTGATTTTTCTAAAGTCGATATGGCTTCCATTAAATCACACACATTTATCAATTATTATATCAATTATTATTGAAGCTTGTGCCATTCCTTATTGGGGAGAAAAGTGTGCAAACAAATGTGTCTGTACAGGCCGTGGTGCAGATAGATGTGACCCAGTTAAAGGTTGTATGTGCAAACCTGGTTGGCAGGGAGAAAAATGTGATAATGACATTAATGAATGTGTTGAAACAGTTGATCAATGTGACGATCCATTGAAAACATGTGTCAATAGTCTAGGTTCTTACACATGCTCTTGTCGCTCTGGATATCAACTGACAGATGAACAAAAATGTGAAGGTATGTTTAACGTAAGATATTTGAAAGAAAAGCATTTGTAGACACAGTAATTTTATAACACTGACTAGTATATTAAATAGTATATGAAAATGAAGCACTGTCTTTTATGACAAGCTTTTTTACAATTGTTTCTGCCTTAACCCATTTAACTATTATATTTTAAAATTTCAAAATCCAAATATCCTATATAGACAAGACAAGAGTCTAAATTTTAGAACTTTTTCTTATTTCATAGTAGTGCAACTACTATCTGCAGTTCAACTACTTTCTACAAAACATTGTTTGTGACGATTACTGCATGAAATTTACCAAAAAAAAAAACGTTTATTTTGCTAGTAATTTAAGGGCCTCTACATGGCTATATTATGAAATAAGTAATTTGTTTGCTTATAGACATAGACGAATGCACTGATCCGCAGCTCAATGATTGTGAGCAGAATTGTACCAACACTGTGGGAAGTTATTCCTGCAAATGCAGAGACGGATATACAAGGCTAAATGGAACATCCTGCACAGGTATTCTACAGAATTTACGCTGAAAGGATTTGAATTGTATCATTAGTCTAATCAATTATTATTGACTCAAGAAATTCATTAAAGAGTAGCAGAAAAGGAAACTGACTTTTACAATATTTTCAATTCATTCGTCATGCTAACAAGGCCTTTAATTAGTTTTTTTTTTCTCAGCAAACATGTAAAACAACCAGGTCAAAATCGAAAATGTCTCCGTTATGTCCTAAGGTTATACGTAATATGATGTAGTTTGTATATACAATACAATTATTTGATTTACTCGGACAAGAGAAAATATTTATGAAGAAAATGATTATTATTGGATTGCGTGAAATATCTGTTATCTACAGTATATTTCTGTATAAAATATGATAAATAATTAAATTGATAAATGAACCATTAAGCGAACTTTAAAGAACAGCAATTGAAACAGAAAAACACAAATGTTTCTAAAGACATCCTGTTTTGCCTTCGATTTGATCTCCGGACCACTTGCTAACAAGCAGATAAAGGCATCACCCACCTAGACTTTTGAGCCAAACAATTAATTTCCTGGCGCATTTGTCTTTTATTGTAATTAAGACACTTTTTTTAGAATTAAAGTTAGGGTTGTGCTGACACAGGTTATATTATTTGTCTAATTATTACTGCGTTACGATACATATTTGAGTGGAGAAAAAATTGATCCTTGTTATAATCATGTTATAGTTCAATATGGGCATATTTCCTATATATATTAATATTGTTTATATTGTAGATGTAGACGAATGTGCATTGGGTTTGGACAAGTGTGAGCAAAGATGTATAAATAATCCGGGTTTTTATTCATGCTTCTGTCATTTTGGGTACTCTCTCAATGATGACAGACGTACTTGTGCTAAATGTAATTGCCGTTTTTATTCACAATATATCTACATTTCAAACAAAGGAAATACTGGACATCTTTTGTTTTCTGTTGTTGTTTTTTTACAGACATTATATCGGAGCTTATATTTATGTTTCGTATATGTTTAATGCATTATTTATTGATTAGATTGTCTTATTTGTACTAGTGTAAAGACATTTTGATAGTAAAATACTATGTACAATTACTTTTTAATACTATCAATATGAAGGAGTCAAAACTCAAAAATTGTTCTTGTTGTTGCTGTTGTCAGATCCATATCTGTCTGCATAATAGTTGCATTTAAAATATAAACTGTTTGATAAAATTGCCTAGACGGTTTTATAAGTAACAATGATTATTTAGAACGAGATATTATTTAAACATGTTTAGTTATTCATATTTTGAGTTATATAAAAATTCGTTTGTTTATCAAATAAAGTTTTACGTTCTCATAATATTTCCAGTGTCTGATCCATGCTTGAGTATCAATAACCTGACATGCTCACATTTCTGTGTGTTGGCAAGTGAAGATGCATCGTGTGCTTGTATGAAAGGTTTCAATCTGGATTCTGATAACGAAACGTGTTCAGGTACAACACTTACATATGTAATTATTATAATACAATGTTAAGCAATACAATTGAATTAAGATGCCAATGCCGAGTATATCATGAAAAACCGACGCGCACTCATTTGACGATATATTTGTACTACATTGGTGTGTCTTCTTTACCAGATATTGCACAACGTTCCGGCTGTCATCATCTTATTTACCTCCGCCTTTCACTTGCTCCTTTGGGGAAAACAGTTTCAAAGTGCTGGGTTTTCTAATGAAGTTGTCCTAACAATCTTCGTCTTTATAAATTGATTCGTTTTGAAAGTTGTTATAGGTATATACTGAATCATAAAATCATCGGCTAGCGCTACAAGTCATATTTAGTTAAAGCATACTGTACCTCTTGTATATACCATGAGTGACATGAATAATAAATAATATACAAATAATATATATATATATATATATATATATAAACACACACACTAGGCAAGTGGTTTTCAAAGTTTAACAGTATATATTATTATATTATAAACACTTTAATAAGAAAACTTAACAATTAAATATTACAAATATTTGATACATTCTCTTAAAGGTTTCTTTAACATTGAAATAAAATCATGAAAGTTGTTTCATCATTATTAGCATTATCATTTCACTTGAAATTTCAGATATAAATGAATGTGATAGTGAGGCCGACAATAAATGTCATACAAATGCTACGTGTACAAATACAGCTGGGTCGTATAATTGCGAGTGTCCAGTGGGAACACAACTTGAAAATGACGGCAGAACTTGTTCAGGTGTTTCAACTTTCTTTTTTTATTTATTAACAATTCATTAAGTAAACGTGTTATATTATTTTTAAAGTTATACAGAAAATTCGATTGCTGTATTTTTTACAAATGACCTAATAACAAAAGGCAATAAAGTAATCATTTTATACTGTTTATTTTTGAACATCTATCTGACAGTAAGACAAGTAATTACAGCTGATTTGTCACGCAGTGCAATCAAAATAACAATGGATATTACGAATTATCATTTTATACGCTAATAGAAGTAAAGATTTGTAAATAAGTCAATAAATGTGAATTCGAAATGTAAATAATATTTATAAATTTGTTTAATAATAGAATGTGATGACTATCACTATGGCAAGAATTGTGTGCATGAATGCAGCTGTCTTAATGGATATTGTAATAAAATAAAAGGTATGTGCTATTGATATTTTAACTGTTAACATAATGTTTTCATTACAAAATGATAAATTGATCTTATCGATCAATATTTTATTGATTCATTTTTTTGCGATGCACTGTATATAACCAAAATTGGCCGTGTAATTAATATGTTAACTTAACATTTATATAAATAGTTCATGCAAAACAATAATGTACGTTTTGCATAAATATTTGAATTTTCTTGTTAAAAAAATAATTTAAGACATGATATGCATTTAATTTATACACGATTTTCTTTTTTTTTTTTAATGTTTTGCACTACGTATTAAGGTTGTGTGTGTCAACACGGATGGGTTGGTGATAAATGTGACATCGATATCAACGAATGTGAAACAGGACAAATCTATTGTGCTGCCCAAAATACGATGTGTGTAAACCTTCTGGGGAGTGCTACATGCTTATGTCAAACCGGATATGAAAATAGCACTGGGAAATGTTTGGGTAATTTAATGTGTGTTTTTATGTAACCGTTATTGCAAATGCATATGATGCAAATATCGTTATTATACTGAAAAAATAATTTATTTTACTTTATTCAAAGGCAGTTTAGATAAAAAAAAAAAGAAACGTTTGTTTAACGCGCAAGCATTTCTAAACTTATGTTTCAGTGTCATAAATAAAATTCGTTATTGATTCAAAAAGAAAAATATAAAAAACTTGTTGTTATTTATCCTTCAATGATTCCAGATATCGATGAGTGTTCTGATTTACTGCTGAACTCATGTGACCAACAGTGCATGAATACAAACGGTAGCTTCACATGTAGCTGTCACAAAGGTTTTCAACTTAAAAATGGAAAATGTACAGGTAACGTCACAAACAAATAATCTATCTGAGTTTGTTGAATAAGTAAATTATCAATGATTAAAATTTTGCAAATATTCTTTTAACTGTCCAAAAATATACTATAATAACTGCAAAGTCATATTTATTTCTTATTAATTATTATGCAAGTAGTAAAGTAATCAATTATGTTGCCAAATTATTTGGAAACTAATTCTAAAATTAGTAATATTATATTTGAGTGTTCAGAATAAGATAGTCAAAATGAATTAATTATACCAGATGTCAATGAATGTACAAGTAAACATGGTTGTGGTCAAATTTGTGAAAACACCGTCGGCAGTTATTTATGTTCATGTAATGAAGGCTTCAAGCTTCAGTTGTCTGATAGAAAAACTTGTAGACGTAAGTTCTCATTTTAAATCGTGAGTATGATTTATCTTCTTGTTAACGTGCAAATTGAAATTACAAGTAACGTTAGAAGCTCGCGAAGGTCAAATTTTCTTTGTGTATTATGTCAGCTATTCAAAAACATTTCTGGAATTTAGATTAATACAAGAGTGTATCTGTTTTCTATTGGCATATCATGATTCAGATCTTACAAAAATGAAAAAAAGTAGATAACAATACAAACGCAGTTTATTACAAAATATTTATAAATATATATAATAGTTACATACATTTATTTATGTTTCAAACAAGTATGTGGAAAACAATGGATTCAACATACATCTATTTTAGAAAAATGTTTATATTCTTTTATCACATAACAACTAAACAGACGCATGATACAACTGGCAGCAAATATTGAAGTTATATAAAATTATTCCACAAAGCCATAACATCTTGAAACAGATTAAATAATAACTTTGAATCGGACAGACAAAAGAGGAAAAGGAGAAAAATACAAATTTAATTGCATAATAAATTTTTGAATATATAAATCTATTAGCTTTTTTGTTTCAAGCGGAGACGGAATGTAATGAATACGGAAGCAATACTTGTACCGCTCATGCGTCATGTTACGTAAATAATGGGACAGTAAGTTGTACATGTTCAAAAGGATTTCAACTGAGTGGAAATAGTTGCGAAGGTAATATGTTACAAAAATATAAATCTATAACAAATTATTCTTCAGCCACGAACGCAGTCTTTTTTTGTCTGGCTCTATCACCCTGTTACATATTTATTACGTTAAACATAACATTAGAACAATGCGTTTGTTTGATTGTAATGTTGAGATAAATAAATAGTACTTGAGAAGACAAAAAACAAAATTCTATCAAACATAATATAACAATATTTTGTAGTTTTTACAACGTTTTTATTAATTACATATGGCTTTTTTCGTAAGATTTAATAAGTTTTCTTACTAATCTGTAGAAAAGAATAGTTGTTTCTTGCAATAAAATATTTTTAAATTCGCTGAATTAATCTAGTCATAGCCTCGTATATATTGGTAACCAGATTTAGGAGTAATGGTACATTTGATTGCACCATGGCAAGTTTCTCTTATAAATATTTGAAAAGACAAATCTTTAATTAACCTGCATACAATATGTTTGTGGACAAATAACATGGTCAGGGAGACAGGCTCTTTCCGAGACTGAACATTATAGAAAAATAATTGGAATTATGAACGTCTCCTATCGTGTGAAATATTACGAACCGTTTGATTTGCTTTATCTTAATAAACCTGTATGATATGTTATTACAGTTTATAATAAACGTCATACAGGCGTCATACAACATGTACAAACTAAAGTTTCATCATTTATACATATTAATATTGTAAGTGATATTATAATGATACTTTGAATTCCGAATTTTAAATATGTACTTTCTTGCTTTGTTAATTACATCGAAAATAGTTAATTTAAATGTATACATCAAATCTCGTGCTAGATGTTGACGAATGCATGTCCAGTGTTCAGCCATGTGATCAACTATGCAGTAATAATGCCGGCAGTTTTGTATGCAGTTGTAAAACTGGGTTCCAGTTACAAGAAGATAAAATTACATGCAAAGGTATTGTAACAATCAAAGCTTTAAAGTGATATTACTTATTAAGTTACTTTCAAACTAATTTCAGTATATCTTAAAGATTTTTACGATGCCTTAGAAATTTTATTATGATAAGAAATATAATTTCAAATATCTAATACTGGATAGTTGTAAGCTTTCGCTTTCCTTAGTGATATTGACACTTGCGTGATTTTCCAAACCACAATATTGTGGATATATACACCAATATTAAAACCTTTATTCAAAGAGTGTGAAGCATGGAAGTTTGGCATTAACTGCCAATCAGATTGTACTTGTGACGAATCAAACTCTGAACGGTGTGACCATGCAACTGGAACGTGTGTATGTAAATCCGGTTGGGAGGGTATAAATTGTGAAGATGATGTAGATGAATGCTTAAATGACACTGCTTGTCCAACTAAGTCAGCATGTATGAACTCAGACGGGAGTTACGTGTGTGAATGTAACGACGGTTATGTAAAGACAGGAGCTAAACGGTGCGAAGGTTTGTTATAGTTGCATTCTGTATGTTTGTTCTGAAATTAAAATTTGAGCTACACCAACAAGAATAAATGTTATAAAATGCTTTGGAAGACCGATAACGTTTTAACATATGCAACAATTTGACAGTAGCACATTAATGTTAGTTGTTTTTGTTTTGTTTTTTTTTTTGTCAAAATATATTAATACCTCACGGATACCTATAATATCAAACCATTTCATGTATATCTTTAAGAATGCGATAGTCGCCATTACGGAGAGGACTGCGCACGCGAATGTACTTGCAATATTGAAAACACTGAAGATTGTAATCATGAGACAGGCTCATGTACTTGTAATCAGGTATTTTGCAAATGTTATTTGTATAAAAGTTTAACATTACATTCCTTTACATTTTATTTAAGGTACAATGTATAAATTGAATAAATTACCGTCATGCTATAAAAAATTACTCTACACTCGATAATTTGTGTGTTCAGTAAAATATATATTGACTTGATTCCATGTTTAATTGTTATTTAACAGTCAATTTCTAAAAGAGAATGTCTTTTTTATAGAGAATGCGTCTACTTGCCTTGTTTTATTTTATGAATATCTGACAAACATTTGAACTTGACATATATTTATTTTGAGGACCGTTAAGCAGTATCGAATTATTCTACTTCTTAACGTTCAGAGTCTTTTCTAAACTAACTCATGTTTCTATTGCATGCTATATGCAACTAATAAACTTTGCTTTTGTCTAATTTAGGGATGGCAGGGACTAGATTGTGTAGAAGATGTAAATGAGTGTTCAAGCAACAGCAGTATTTGTGATTTTAAGGCTAACTCAGTGTGCCAAAACAATATTGGTTCATATAAGTGCATCTGTAAAGATGGTTTTCTGGAACAAAACGGGATTTGCATTGGTAATCCACTTAATATAATCTAAATGATAACAAATTGAAAAAAATCTTAAATCGTGCAATAGATGTGAAGACATATTACAGCTTAGTTTATTGTCATCTCAAAGTATTTGTATGTCTTAATGATTTTTTGTTGTTGCAGATTTCAATGAGTGCTTAGCTAATGAGACAAATACTTGCAAACAGAAATGTTTAAATTTACCCGGTAGCTATGAATGTGCATGTTTCTCTGGTTTCCACATGTCAGGAGGAGTTTGCCAAGGTAATACTAGTATACTCGTACTGCCTCTATTATTCTATAATAATTATGTTCTAACATGCCAGTGATGTACATTTTGTATTGATTGGGCCTGCGTTTAGTAAACATTGCTCACCTTCGGTGATCTTTCCTTTCATAACGAAATAATATATGCAATTAAACATTTCTCAATTAATATTCAACTTATTTATGATGATTTTATGTATTAAAAGAAGTCTCAAAACTAGGAAATTTGATCCGTTCTTTTGAAAATATTAGTATCTGTTTTGTTAATGTCAGATTATGGTCGGTCAGGTTAATTGTCTTATCAAAATTTAGTAATTTGGCATCTTAAGTCAAAGACAATTTCGCCGTGTTCAAGCAACAAATGTAATGGAAATATAAAGACAACGTGCCTGTTAAATGAGTGCATGATTTTCCTATCGAAACGGAAAATAAATAACCAATTAATGTGATTAACTCAAACGATATTTTGCCTTATTGAACTTAAAGCTAATCTCCCACACAAAATGGGTCTATAAATATCAAGATATTTTTTAAAGTTATTGAATATTATTAGAAGTAAAATTAGCAGTTTTCACGAGATAAATGTGACCTATCGGTTGTTATGTTTCACTGGACACATATACAAACACCTATTTTATCACACACGCTAACATGTAGCGAGTGGACAGCTTTGATGCAGGCAGAAATTAAACCGGATTTCCGAGATGTCGTGAACATGGTGAAGTTCTTCTTTTTGTCTGTTTTTATAGACATATTTTTATAATATATATTGTGCAGCAATCGACTGCAGAATAAAAACCTTACTATCCGCAACCAACTGATCTACTTGCAACCATGTAACGGTTGCCTTGATCATTTAGGTCAATATTTACAAAATAAAACGTTACAACGGTTTAAAATAACGGCAGGTTAAACATTGCAAATACTTCACAAAAGTATTTATATGTCAGTTAAAACATGTATAAATAATGTAGTTCCATATAAATGTAAGACCTTGTGCTGAAATTTTATCTTTTGATAACATTTTATTTTAAAAAGCCCAAACTACAGTGTGTAGGATAGTAACTTTAAATCATATCGTGTCCAGGACCAAAATGCTCCATTTATTCCTTTTTACAGACATTGATGAATGTAAGAAGAACAACACATGTGATCAAAATTGTAATAACACATACGGAAGTTTCATCTGTTCATGTGAGACCGGATTTTATCTAAACGTAACTGATCAGACATCTTGCGTTGGTGAGTAAAACAACAACGTGTTTAACCTTAAAATATATAGAATAGAGATCCTTACTGTTTGAGTTTTAACAGTTTTAACCCTTTACCTCATATATACGCTAAACAACGCACTTTCGACCTCTCTCTTTTAGGCCTCAAATAGTACAAAAAAGTCCTATTTGGGCCCCAAACACATGTTTTCGTTTAAAAATGTTGCTTAAAAAAGTGAGCACTTTTTCGGCGCCGCCCCCTTCCAAAAGACGCGTCAGGGGGTTGCCAGAAGGGGGATGTGCCTCCTTCTGTGTGGGGGGTTTGAAGGGGGCGGCCGTCTCCCTCATCGCCAAGAAAATTTTGGACTTGTGAGAGACCCTAGGTCAATCATAAGGTAACGTGTAACCAACGCTGAAAAACCTGTGACTCTATCTGAATTCCTCGAGAAGTTGTAGCACTTTGAAATAAATTTTGATGGAAAATATCAAGGCAAAATAGTGATTTTTGGCAATTTTGAGATGTCCCCTCGTTGCCTCAATTTAAGAGTGAAATGGAGTTACACAATGCAGATTGTCAAGCACATGGTCCGCATTTGATTTATTATAATATGCATTTTCGTTTCATAACATTTGAACTTAACAAGGTTGTCAAGAAAAGGATCCACTGTTATACAATTCTCAAGAGAATTTAATAAAATATTCACAGTAATGTATATACTTTACAGCCTGTGAAGAATGGACATACGGATTTGAATGTGGACATAATTGTACTTGTAATGTGCCGAATTCTGAGAGATGTGATTCTAAAACTGGTGATTGCATATGCGCCAAGGAATGGAAGGGCTCTGAATGCACCGAAGATGTTGATGAATGTATTGACGAAGGAATATGCCAGGACAATTCATACTGTGAAAATTCTAATGGAAGTTTCGACTGTTTATGTGAAATTGGATACCAACTGACTAACGGCAACACATGCAAAGGTACGACATGAAATAACCATTTCTAGATAGCAAATATAATTGCTGAAATTATGGAAATAATTTCCCCAAATAAATATCATTATTATAGTTTTTGTTAGAGCATATGAAGTCAATATATGGTATAAAGTTAATATATGTGTTAAACAATACCTTCAGAATGCGACAATCCGTATTATGGGAAAAACTGCAGCAAGGTATGCGACTGCATCCCTGAAGGAACACTTGAGTGTAATCATGTAAATGGTAGCTGTACTTGCAGCCAGGTGAGAAATTTAATCAAAGAAAAAAAATGAAAGTTTATTATGTAGATTTTATTGGAATCATATTTAGCCATTCTTATACAAACTTCTTTTCATGCAAAAAATCAGTTTCTAAAAGTTTTCAACAAATCTAATGGCTATCCCAGACAGAAATTTAATAAGTTTACTTTGTATTCATCATGTAAACATAACAAAATGAATTCAATTAAGTTCTATACATGTTTTGCTTATATTTTTTTCAAAACTAATTATCTGTAAACACATAAGCGCCAGGTCTAATTTTAAATATTATAGAAAAATACTTCAATAAATACACGCTGCTTCCGATCTTATCCTTTTTATATCGCTTTTATATGTTTTTAAATATTTGTTCTTGTATATGATAAATAAAATCATGAAGTATCTATAAATCAACCAATACTACTTCTATGTGTGAAACGAATATGATTTAACGTATATATCCACTAAATGACAAGGTGTCTGAAAGGGTTAAATCAAAGCTTCACTTTATTTAGAAGTGAGTACAAGATACAATTGTGAACGATTCAATGCATGAGACTTTATTCCGTAACTGAATTATCCATTCATTGGTTGTTTGTTATTTGTTTTCTAAGGGCTGGACCGGCGTGTTGTGTAATGTCGACATAGACGAATGTGAACAAAATAAAACAATATGTGAATATAAGGACAATTCTACCTGCAAGAACGAAAATGGTTCATACAAGTGTTTGTGTAACGGCGGCCTTAGAGACGAGGATGATATATGCACCGGTTTTGCTTAGTTTTGCATAATATCTTAACGAATTTATTTTTTCTTGAAAAGTTATTACCTTAAACTTATTTTGTATCTATAATTATGTATACATGTAATATTATGATGATGTTTTTAGATCGGTCTAATGAAACACTTGTATTCGAATGTATTTCTGAATTTCTATATCATGCTGTTCACATTTACAGAATGCGATATCTGGAAATTTGGAGCAAATTGCGAATCAGTGTGTTCATGTGATACAACAAACACTGAGCACTGTAACCCTGTCACAGGATTATGTAGGTGTAAGCCAGGTTGGAAGGGTACTATCTGCAAGGATGATGAGAATGAATGTGAAATCGACATATTTGTCAGAGTAACTCTACTTGTAAAAATACGGTCGGAAGTTTTGGATGTGACTGTAATACAGGATATATTGAGGCAAATAAAGGAGTATGCTCTGGTATGGTTAAACTGAAACAAGAAAAAAATATTTTTAATAATACAGACATATTATTGACATAGATGAAATTTGCTTAAAAGCCAAAAGTCGTCATGTCTTGCACTGCAATAAAAGAAAAAACGCATTTACTGATCTCAAATTACTTACTGATTCGTATATCAGATTTGTGTGTATAGCGATCATATGAATAGAAATGAGAAGATGACTTTGCCGACTTTGACCTCTAACACATTGGCGCCTTAACCTGCCACGGACATTATATAATATTATGCAATAAAGCTATCTACTATCTTTTCTAAGAAGCTTTTGGAAGATAAGTGGTTCTACTCGGGTGGACATTTACGGTGTCAATGTGACTTAAATCAAACCAAAATCGGTCTCATTCATACTGTACCGCATGACAAATTTATACAAAATATGTTATTGAAACATTTTTCAGTCACTGTTCGGACACAATTATGATACGAGTAAAGAGTCATTTAAAACATAATAACATAACAATCTTTTTGTGTTATCTTTTTTCGGTTGATTTCTTTCAGTCAAATTAAATAAATGTATGTGTAATATTTGGTATTTGGTAGAATGTAGCAGCTGGTTCTTTGGAGATAATTGCAGTAAAGAATGTTCGTGTAATAAAGATAACACTGTCATATGTGATCATGTAACTGGTACTTGCACTTGTTCAAAGGTAATTTTATTACTTTTTCTTCTATATTCATATCTCAGATGATATAACTATATTCAATAAGTAAAGTTGTATTAATTTCTACAAATATAACTATACTAATTTTGCGTATGTGCATCTTACAAATACATATTTACTTTTGGCATGATATTTGCATGATATTGGCAAATTTACATTTAATCAATTGTAAAAGTTCGTGGAATTATTGTACTTAATATTTGAAAACTCACGCTTAATCCGCAAATTAAGCTATGGGAAGTTTACAATCATAAGGTTTGTTTGATACAACATGAAATATTCCTTTGTCTATAATGAATTCAAATTTTTTATTGTCCTTATTTGTAACGAAGGGATGGGCTGGTGACAAGTGTGAAAAAGATGTAGACGAATGTTTCAACAATGACAGTCTTTGTGATGAAAAGGCAAACTCTACATGCAACAATGGCATCGGTTCTTATTCATGTGTATGCAATACTGGCTTCAAAGACGATGAAAGCAACAAATGTAAAGGTAATATCCTTTGATATATTTGTTTTATTTCATAATTTTACAAAGAAACGTTAAAATAGTAGTTAAATCAATGTCACAATAAACATACTTAAAACCAAACCAAAATCGGTCTCATGCATACTTTACCGCATGACAAATATATATAAAATATGTTATTGAAACATTTTTCAGTCACTGTTCGGACACAAATTATGATACGAGTAAAGAGTCATTTAAAACATAATAACATAACAATCTTATTGTGTTACCTTTTTTCTGTTGACTTCTTTCAGTCAAATAAAATAAATGTATGTGTAATATTTTGTATTTGATAGAATGTAGCAGCTGGTTCTTTGGAGATAATTGCAGTAAAGAATGTTCGTGTAATAAAGATAACACCGACATATGTGATCATGTAACTGGTAAATGCACTTGTTCACAGGTATCTTTATTACTTTTTCTTCTGTGTTTATATCTATATAGATGATATAACTATATTCAATAAGTAAAGTTGTATCTTTTACTACAATAATTATATTAATTTTACACATACACATTTACTTTTGGCATGATATTGGCAAATTTACATTTAATCATTTGTAAAAGTTCGTGGAATTATTGTTCTTAATATTTGAAAACTCACGCTTAATCCGCAAATTAAGCTATTGGAAGTTTACAATCATAAGGTTTGTTTGATATAACATGATATTTTCCTTTGTCTATAATGAATTCAAATTGTTTTATTGGTCTTATTTGTAACGAAGGGATGGGCTGGTGACAAGTGTGAAAAAGATGTAGACGAATGTTTCAACAATGACAGTCTTTGTGATGAAAAGGCAAACTCTACCTGCAACAACATGGCTGGTTCGTATTCATGTGTATGTAATACTGGCTTCAAAGACGATGGAAGTAACAAATGTGAAGGTAATATCATCAGATCTATTTGTGTTACTTGATAAGTTTGCAAAAAGTTGAAAAGGTAGTTAAATAAATCTATGTCACGATAAACATACAATTATGCTTAAGTTATTGCAAAATTAATAGCTTTAAATTTTGATGTTATATTTTTTCTACTTATTAACTACTGCCATTGTTTATTGCAATACAGGAAACACAACAAAACTTTACTTATCATTTCTTTTGTCAAGGTTTTAGAAGGACATGTGTTTTAATATGATAAAAAAAGATATAATTATCAATAAGAATAAGTGAATATTTTCAAACTAAATTAGATAAATTGCACTTAAAATAACCAGATAATTAAAAAAAAACGGTTAATGTAGAATGTAGCAAATGGTACTTCGGGAATGAGTGTGTCACAGAGTGCACGTGTGATACAGACAACACTGAGTCGTGCGATCATGTTACTGGGAAATGCACTTGTTCAAAGGTACATGTTAATCTTTTCTGTATTTATATATCACAGATGGATATAATTATACTGAATAAGTAAAACTTTATCAGTCAAAACAAATAATATGTATTAAATGTTTGTATGTTTGTAATGACAATGACAATGTATTTATTGATATTGGCCACCGGCCCATTACAACAATATATACATCAAGATATAATTTCTTGACTGGTGTCAGTTCAGATCGATGTAAATCCTAATAATGTTTATATTAAAACACACAGAACTATTGTTGAATAATTTACCAAAATGCGTGTCGATCTTAACGAAAAACAAAACAAAAGATCTTCACTTTTGGCTATTCATTGCAAAATAAGAAAAACAATGTATGTTTGTATCTTATACGTATTGAAACTCTTTTGAAATGATTTTGTCAAATATACATTTTATCTGTTGTTAAAATTCATATGAAATTATTAAACCCAAATATCTAAAATCTTAGTACGCTAAATCCTCAAATTGAGTTTTAAAAGTTTATAACATTAAAGTTTTTTTTTGATACAACATTAAATTTTCATTTGTTTATTCACATTGAATTCGAATGCATTCATTGCCCTTATATTTACAAAGGGATGGACTGGTGACAACTGTGATATGGACGTAGATGAATGTTTCAACAATGGCAGTCTTTGTGATGTAAAGGCAAACTCTACATGCAACAACAGTGCCGGTTCGTATTCATGTGTATGCAGTACGGGTTTCAAGGACAATGGAAGTAACAAATGTGAAGGTATAGTGCGTTAATATACAAGTACATGTTCTGCATATATAAGCTTAGATTTAAAAATAAAAAAGAAGTTTAACAATAGCTAGACATTTTTATGCATATCTTATTAATCATTGTTATACAGAATACAAAACAAATATTTGCAAATCATTTTTTACATGTTTCAGTTAGACGTTTTCGTAAGAATATATTAGATAATATCATGCGATAATCAAAATTATGCCGTTCATAATTGTAGAGATTATGCAGAAAATATGGAATGTGTTTGTAAAGAAAACAAATGAATTAAGGTTCTTAAATTTCTTAAATTAAATGAATTCCTCTAACTGTTACAACAAAATCAACAAATAGTATATACTTTAGAATGTAGCAATTGGTACTTCGGGAATGAGTGTAGCACAGAGTGCACGTGCAATAGAGACAACACCGATGCATGTGACGACGTTACTGGTACTTGCTCTTGTTTAAAGGTAATCGAGTTTGTTTATTCACTTTAAATTCAATAAAATGTTTTGAATAAAGAATTTTAAAACATGGATACCCTTTTCCTAATATTTGATCATTCATACGAGGTAATTATTGGGTACATGTCAAGGCTATAGAAGAATGGAAACTTTAAGTGCCTATCTTATTGAGAATTAAAGATGAGATTATAGATGGTTGGATAGATTATCCGACGATTACGAGAAACAGAATCTTTTAATTTAGTTAGATTCAAATTTGTTAAATATTTCTGTTACTAAGGCATGGACCGGCGAGAACTGTACGATAGATGTAAATGAATGCTTAAAGAACGATAGTCTTTGTGATGGAAAAGCAAACTCTATCTGTAACAACACAATTGGTTCATATAATTGCCTATGCAATATAGGGTTCAAGGACAATGGAAATAAGTGCGAAGGTAAATTTTGTGAATTTGTAATTCTGTGTCATAGCTTACATGCGATTTATTCACCATAGTTTTTAGCTAGAAACCTATGGATCTATTCAATGTACGCATATTTGGTTTATTAACATTTCTCCTCTTTGGACTATACACAATCTGCTTGATAATATCTTTTTTTTACAAAACGTGACATTATATAAAAACGACAGATATTAAATAAAAAATAATATGTATGGAAAATATCCCATTGAATTCATTGCTAAATTATTTCCATCTGAAGAATTGCTTTTTTCCAGAATGCAGTAACTGGAACTACGGGAATGAATGTAGTTCCGAATGCACATGCAATAAAGATAACACCGACACGTGTGACCATGTTACTGGTGATTGTACATGTTTTAAGGTATTTAATAAGTTCATGTATTTCCTCATCTCTACGTTTATAAATGAATGAAATATGTTAACTTTGTACAGAATAAGCGGTTGATATGCCGCAAGAGAAAGGTAAGAAGGCGATAATCTGCCTGTAAAAAAGATTATTTCTTTGTCATGCATTAATTTCTTTAATGTGTACATTTCTATTGGTTAATGGACATTATATTCCTCTTGTTTAAAATGAGAGTCCTCTAAAAGCTCGGGCACGGAAGTGCTTTTCTTAATTGATACTAAAACCTGACGTCTCAACCTATTCTGTGTATTTACATCTGCAGAAACATGAGGATGACTCCCAAAGGACGAGTGATTTATCCAATCTGAATGTTTTACACAGACATTAATGCAACAAAATGCATAGAATTGGTTTGAAAATCATGTTGACATTGAGAACACATTTTCATGTTTCAAATAACTGATTTTAATGACTTACGTATTGCGCCATTTGTGGACTTTGGTTGCACGTGTATTTACAAAGTGCCGATTATTATTATGAGTTTTCGGCGTCGGACCGCAAATTAATTAATTTTAACGTGACGCTCGTAATCAATTCAAAAGTTCAATTTTGTTACAATTTTGTTACTATCGATAGTAGTAAGTGTATGAAACGGATATTTATCCATTAAAACAAATAAAATTGAAACAGAAAACATTTTACAATGGAGAGGACTTAATATAATGTTGCACATTTTTCTATCCAACTGACGAAGTTGAAGATATTTACATTCAAATACAAACTATTATTTTGCTTGTATCTAAGGAATGGGCAGGAGAAAACTGTGATATAGATGTAGATGAATGTTTAAACAACAAAACTCTTTGTGATATAAAGGCAAATTCTACCTGCAACAATACCAACGGTTCATATAACTGTGTATGCGATACTGGATTCGTGGACGATGGAAAAAACAAATGTGAAGGTAGATTTGTTAATTTGTATTTCTATGTCATAGCTTATGTATGCAATATTGTTGAAATAGCTTTAAATGTTTTCAGCAATGTGATTGTGTATTCGTTCATTGCGAAATATATTGTTTATACTTGCTGAACATTTCAAATATTGCTGTACCCGTGCATTTATTTCCATCTAAAGAATTGCTTTTTTCCAGAATGCAGTAGCATAATGAACGGTTTTATGAAAATGATATGTTATGGGTTTGAATAAATATATTCGTAATATTATCATGCTATAGTGATAGTTGTTGTTACGTTATGTACAAGTAACTAATTGCATCATTGATCAAAGGTAGTAAAAACTAACAAATTTATTTTCAAAAGCATAATATATATCATATTTTCTTATATTATAGAATGTAACAGTTGGCAGTTTGGACATAACTGTAGCATGGATTGCGCATGTAATAAAGATAACACCGACATTTGTAATCATGTTACTGGTGATTGCACTTGTTTAAAGGTAGGTCATAGTTTCACAAAACGTATATCTTCCATGTTTTACTTCTTATCGTCGTGAAGTTATTTAAATTCAAATCTTTAATATATTCATTATGACTGAGTGTCGTATGAAATATTACATTTCAAACCAATGAAATCTCTTTGATAAAGACATACAAATCATTCTCTTTACCAAGTCTCTACGGCAACAATGCTTTAAAGTTTAATAATGCACATTATTTAAAAATAGTTTGCGTTGCGTACAAGAAATGTTAAAAGGAATTTCAAAATTCTTAATTACTGTACAAATCCTTATATTTTATATGACTAAGGAATGGACTGGCGAGAACTGTACAGTTGATGTAGATGAATGTTTGAACAACAGCAGTCTATGCGATGGAAAGACAAACTCTACCTGCAACAACACTATCGGTTCATATATGTGCATATGCAATACAGGATTCCAGGATATCGAGAATAACAAATGTGAAGGTATACCGTGTCAATTCATATTGTTTCTGTAAAACTTTAGCTAAAATTGTTTAAGGTTGAAAATGGTAATATAATAATTTCATATCTAATATAAGGTATTCATAATTGTAAATCTTTTTTCTATCGACTTTCATTATGTTATTGTGTTATGAACATGGTTTATTATGTTAAATTTGTCTGTATATTCTAATGATGTTTTAGAATGCACTGGGAACACATATGGCAAAAACTGCTCAGAGATGTGTGGCTGCAACATAACTAATTCATTAAATGAGAACCAAGCATGTGACATAATGACTGGACAATGCAAATGTAAAGCCGGTTGGTATGGTGACAGCTGTAATGATGACGTAAATGAATGTGAAGATATAAGAAGCTGTTCGACTATTAGTGATACAACCTGTGTTAACACATTTGGTTCTTTTCTTTGTGATTGCCGAAGGGGTTTTACGAAATCGTCTGACGGAGCCTGTATAAAAGGTAAAAGTGTCAGCTACTCGTATAAAGTTTATGTAATAGTTGCTATCTCAAACTTTTTAAATTATGCAAATATTTATAAAAAAGTGATTAAACATTTTTTGTAAAATTGTTTACACAATTTGATTAAAATATAGGTCTGGAAAAGTAAAATTGTCTTTGCCTATATCAATCTAAGGTAGATTTACATTATATGCAAACTTGTTTATTTTTATGCCCCCACAAAGTGGGCAGCATAAAGCGTTGCACTTGTCCGTCCGTCCGTACGTCTGTCCGTACGTCCCGAAATCTTGTGAACGCAACTCCTCTTAAACCGGATGAACAATCTTAACGGTAGATGGTAGTAAAGTAAGGAATTTTCACTGCGACCAACTTTAACAGAATTATGGTCTTTTGTTGATTTTTTCACTATATACTATGTAGAAATTTTGTGAATGCAACTCCTCTTAAACCGGATAGCAGATTTTGCTAAAACTTCCAGGGAGGAACAACCTTAATGTGTAGATGGAAATAAAGGCGGGGATTTTTGCTGTGACCAAATTTAACAGAATGTTCGCCCTTTGTTGATTTTTTCACTATTTACCATATAAATAATTGAACATATAAATTTTACATTTGTAATTTAATTTAACATGTACATAAGGTTACCTGTAGATCATTTTAGGTATATGTACAGAAATGAAACAGTGGAATGAAAAAGTTCCACATAAAAATCTTACATACAGATATGCATGCTCTTGTTTACGAGCACATCTGCACAGTGGGGGCATACGTGTCCTTTGGACACAATTCTAGTTTATTATATTTTGTTTTGTTTTTGTAAGTTATAGACAATGGTATATTAATGTAATTGCATCACTTTAACACTGCTACTGTTACCGTTTTTCATATTTCAAGTGATGGTTTATTGGTACGAAAGTATTTTTTTTACTTACAACTCACAAAATCTAATGAAATTTCCTTTTTGTTTTCAGAGAGTTCGACGACAACTGCAGTTCCTGGTAGGTTGTTTTTCGTTAAAATATACTAAGGTTGTAAACAATGTATTTATTAAATAAATATTCATTTGTTAAAGAGGAATGTTAATTCATTATTGTTTTTAACGATGTTTCTTTGACAGCATTCATAAATTTTAATTGTAAGCATAAATTGTATTCGAAATTAGTTGTAAATATAAAAAAAGTACAAAAAAACGTTTATGTGATTAATAATTTTTGACTGTGTATTATATCATAAAAATCGCAGTAATATTATACTTACATGTTGTCTCTGTTACTTATCCAAGATCTATTTCATCATTGCAGGCAATTCGTTTAAGCATTCACTCACATTAGACTTCGACCTTCCAGCTGATACCAATTTACAAGCCGCTGACACATATAACGCAATAAAAAATGAAATACTTTCTACAGTTAGTTATTTTAGTTGAAAATCGTCTCATTTTTTCTACTCAAATGTTTCAATTCAGCAATCGTTATATTCAATATTTTGCTAAATACATTTACTTTTGTAAAGTGAAACGTGTTTAACTTAATTCAAAGTTAATTTTCTAAACGTTGTGTTAAAATAAGGATATACTGTTTTCAACTTTTATATACTTTAAAAAAAGGATCACGCATGTATGAAATATTAGTCATACAATAATGAAAAAAATCATAATATAATATAATACTTTGTGAATGATTTATATATTGTAAGTGTTTCATGTATTTACTCTTCATCTGCTTCAGCTGTTGAACTTCTACAAGACGTACATTACTGGTTTGATTGATATAATAATAAATGATATAAGGTAATTTTGCAATGATATAGATGTATTTAACAAACTTGTACATCGACTGTCTTAACAATCAGACAATCAATTAAAATATTTGAAATATTTTTTTAAAAATCTATTTCGTTTGTATTTAATATTCAAACATAATGTTAATGTAAGTTTTTATAATACATGTTTGAAATAAAATTCTATGATTTTAGTTGCCCATTTGGTTTAAATAATTTTCATTTCTTTTTCCATATTAACAAATAAAATTTTAATACATGAATTGCATCCAGGATTGAGAATATAGCTGAAAGCTTATATGAAACTCTCCCATATGGCCCATTTAACAGAAACCTATGGGGATATCCTGTTTTCTAATTTGTTTTCTGTTTGATAAAATAACAAATAAACAATAAAACGTCATTTTAATGAACTTAAATAAAAAGGTGATGCGGAATTTAGAGCTAAAGAAATTTGAAAAAGTAAAACAGTCAAATTGTCTTACTGAAAACGTTTTACCTAAGTTTGTACTAACATTCTGTATCGTCCATTTGTGGGCATTTTCTTCAGTACATCACTATACTTTTGTCTAGACTGTAGGCACCGTTCACTAGTTTAAAATATTTTATAGACACTATACGGTCTAAATTGCATTAGTATCGTCAGTATTGCATTTCAGTGTGGTGCACCCCTTTCTCTCTATATATCTTAAATAATTTTCTTGTCCTTTTGATTCTATATGTCAGCAAGATATTGTATTTGTGATTTGGATCTCATCGATTCGCTAGGTTGTTTTTGTAACAATATGAGATATACAAGCTGTTCTACTTCCCACTATTCTGTTTTGGAATTTTTTTTTACTCACGCACAACTGTTCCTTCATTGAAACAAAAGAAAGTATTGAGTTTTGATTTAGATAAATTTGATATATAATTTGGAAAATGTGCAATCTTTTAAGGAATGGAAGTATCATTGCGGATTATACTGTTGTGTACGGGGAACTCAACGAGGACGATGCTGCAAATCTAACTAAAGCTGTCCTTAATTTAGAACAGGGTACACAATTAACAGTGTATGGACAAAATGTCAGTGTTACGTCAGGTAAGAAATCTTGATAAACTACAACAAGGTACATAATTGACAGTGTATGGATAAGGAGACAATGTTTTGTGTGGAATGGTCCCTCGTCTAAGAACCACATAATGCGTTAGAAAACAGAAACGCATGTGTATGAGAAATATGAACACAAGTTTTACCAAATATCGTTGTTAATACTGTAAAAAACTTTTTCTGAATACATCTTTATATCGTAAACGAATTTTGTCTGGTGAAAAACAACATTTCTTTACGTCGAAATATATCAGTTATATATCTTATGTATAAACATACGTGTATCAATTCTACTCAGTTAAAATCAAAGCTTTTTTATTGTTTCTAAAGCGATGTATAAGGATCTGAAACCATGTGAATTGTACAATGCAACTGTCGGCAGTTGTAAACAAGGCTACCGGTGCAGAGTTGAGAACAATATTCCTATTTGCAGGTAGGTTAAATGCTATAACAATAACTTGAATTATATTTACACATATTACAGATTACACTTTCAGTTGTCATTAATGAATAACCATTATTGTTCTGTTCTCCATGTTTTTATTTGTTTCCATATCTTTTTATCTGAATAGTACGGTAATTAAAATTGTTATCTACAAATGAAATAAAGTACCGGTGGCGGCATGGCCTAGTGGTTAGCGCGTCGAACTAGTAATATAAGGATTACTGTCGCGTGGGTTTAAACTCCGTCAGGGGCAAACCGCTGTTTCCCCGAGCAAGAAATTTTACACTCATTGCTTAATACTGGTTGGTTCAAGGAAAGGATTCGAAGGTATTTCAACAAGCTTAAAGTTACAAACTCAATGGAACTGAAATAAATTAGTAAAAAGGTTTTTTAAAACTATACACTGAATATAAATCAAATAGATAAGAAATCATATATTCACTTACAGACTAGAATATGAAGACAATGAGGGTAAGTAAATGTATTCTAGTAAATATAGCTTTTTGTAAATAACTTGTTTATGTTTATTGTTCGGACAATACGGGATAGATACTGGAGGTGTATATACTGTATTTACAAAAATCTGGAAACAAAGTGATCCCTCGGAAGCATTAATCACAACAACATTACAAGAGAATTGCAGACTCGGCCTGATCGAGTCCGCACATGAGGGATAATGGATACCTGCAACATCCCTCAACCCTAGCACCGGCTTGAGCGGTACTCAATTCTCAACACTTAATAGTGCCGGCATCAATGATCCCGAAAGACCAGAAAAATATAACAACACTGAAGTGAAGTACGGGAAATGTTCTACAGCTGCCACACGGCACTTGACACCTGCTGTTGTGAAGTATAAAAATCTGGAAACAAAGTGATCCCTCGGAACAAAATTACAAGAGAATTGCAGACTCGGCCTTATCGTCGCATCTTTATCTGCCATATTATATTAATTCTACATTTGTAACATAAATTGATAAGTACGTTTTTATGTTGAATCTTTGATAAACTATCAACTGATAATGAACAAAGACGATTTTCACTTAGTTTATTTTCAAGTTTCGGACAAGTATAAATTTTGATAGATACTTTTCTTTTATTAATTGTTTATAGTTTTATGTAAATATTCTGGAAATAATGATTTAATAACTTTTTTATCTCTCACTTTTTAATCAAAAGTGAACTGGTCAATTATCATTGGATTATCTGGCGCTGGAATATTTGTTGTTGTCATGGTTGCCATTACCATTGTGTTTGTGCGCCATCTGTCGAGGAAACATAAAATGAGGAAACAGGACATCCGAAGGTAACATGTATCCCTTGTTTTGTCCTATAAATCTATAAAAAATTGTAGAACTTTGTACGCTTGTGTTAAGGTATCATAACTCATAAGAATATGCAATACTTGAACAGAAAAAAATAGAGGATTATCTTGCTGAATTGGTGAAATATATTCATGTGTTGATGCTATAGTACATTTTTGTTGAGTAATATACTATTATCATTTATAAGGTCGAGACGAGCAGCCTATTATCGTGATACACATGGAAATGTCTCAGATGTGGACACGGTACATCAGTGCGACAAGGTAACAACATTGAATACTTTCTTTTATCATTTTAACACTAAGCATAAACCTATATAACCACTTGCCCCTCACCGCTGTGGGTTCGAATCCCGACAGGGACTTTGGATTCTTTCACGTGAGGAAGCTATCCAGCTAGCTTACGGAAAGTCGGTGGTTCTACTCAGGTGCCCGTTCGTGCCTGAAATAATGTACGGAAGGGCACCTGAGGTCTTCTTCCACCAGTAAAGCTGGAACGTCGCGATAAGACCTATACTGTGTCGATGTGACGTAAAACCCAAAACAAACAAACAAATAAACCTATATAAACAGATTCGAAAATACCTCACGTGTAAAGGACTGTCGTTATTTAGTATTAAGTAAAAAGAAATATGATTATATCATATATTTAAAAATCTTCATGTTCACACCTGACCTGTAGATAATTCGCATTTCGATGGATATCGGCTCTTTCACATTTCACGTTTAACACAAAATATACAAATACACATGTCTATTGCATATGTACGTATCTACTGAATTTGTCTTTATCTATTCTAAATGACTAGCTTCGGATACCTTCCCTAAAAGATGGACACCGCGTAATTGGAGGGACCTTTTAACAGGACCTGCGATGTTTAGACATGCTGAAAACGAATCTGCCGTAAGCAACAAAATCTTTGTATTGCAAATATGATAATTATTTACCATAGTTTTGTTTTATTACGACGACTTCTTTTTGAAACTGTGATGTTTTATTTGTTTACGGAACTTCAAAACATGTGTTCATATTAATATTTTCTTTGTCTTAATTGCAAGACATTTTTAAGGACGAATGATATTGAAACTATGAATATTTTTTTCTCTTAAAATATACATTTATCAATTTTTGTGCTTAACATCGTCAATTTATTAGGGTAAATTTACGTGGCATTTCACTTTTCGTTATACATAAGTTCAGATAATAGGGATTTACGACAAATGCTTGATAAATGAAATATTTTTCACTCGTTGCAGTACAACGAACCGTATTATGGATCCCATGCTAGACCAACATACAGCACTGATGACAAACATGACAACAGGTTCTAGATACAACAGCGAAAAAGGAAACATACGTGGAATAAGGACAATCATTGTTTATTTGAACTATAATTATATCTAATTTTTGTTACAAAAATTTAGCTTGCTTGCATCTTGACAAAAAGAGGTTGTTGTTGCAATTGAAACAAATTATGATGCAAGCTGGGTTAAAAAGTGTCAATTGTAACGTACTGATTTTTTTTAAACATTATACTTTTTAGGAAAGGGCAAGCATGTATCTTATAGTATTTTGCTTACGTTCTTTGGTTTTACTGTTATACTAAAATCGCTTTGGATTGTAATCATTTGTCATAACACTGACTGATAAATATTGTACTAATACACACTTTATTTCATTGTTACCCGCTAATACTTACCTTCAAATCCGTCAGTTTGGAGTTTGTTTGTTGTTTTTTTATTTAATGGAAAGGTTTGTAATCAGTACTATGATGTCGATAACAATGATAATATGATGTAAAAGGCTTGTTTTACAAAATGTGTATATTTTAATTAAAGTTTCGGGATAATGAGATTACTGAATTAAAAATATAAGATTTAATAGACAGATTGATGTGTTCGACCCAAAAATATAAATCATCATGAACTACCCCTTTTACTACAATAACCTGTTTGTATAACTATGAACAAACAAGTGTTTTGTTTGATTTTATTTTTGTTTACAAAATACTTTTCGTAAAATTGTACTTTCACAACATGTTTTTAAAGGTACTCCGTTTTAGGGTTTTAGACATAAAAGACTAGAAATATTTTTTATGAGAAATATGTACTGTTTCATTAAGATCTGACCTGGTAACTCTTGTGCATTATTTCAGATCATGTGCTCACTTTGTTTCCTCAATAAATTCTATTTAAACGACCTTAAAGATATAATCGCACTCGAGTCATAATATGAATCAATTCACCCCCCCCCCCCCAAAAAAAAAAAAACGAATTTTAATTCAATTCTGAGTATATATATATAAATATATATTCCTTGCTTTTTTCATGATTGTTCATTTCAAGTGCATACAAATGTTACATGTAAGAAATGAAGGTTTATGTTTAATGTATTTTAATCTCATGCAGTGTAGCTCCATTAAAGATACCCGAATATGTATAAATCCGTGCTTTATAAACGAATGACAGTTTAGTTCAAAACTGAATGACCTTCTCTTGAGTAAAATTGTATCTTGGATGTGTTTTAACTGGTTAATAACTTTTAACCAATAAACACTGCTTTGCGACTACAAGTAACTTAAGGTCAATTTTTATATTCATGTACCCCCTCCGACAACATTGATAAACATAAGCAATATCATTAAAGCAATTTATTGATATTTTCCGTTTCTGTCATGTTTTATTTTCATTCCATGCTAAAATAAAATCTCAGTGAAATTGAATATTTTTGCTGGTACCGGGTTTAACACTATATAACACAGTCTGATATGCAAGTTATATTGTTGTAAACTTTCGGAGTTCATACTAAAATATCAGTTATTTTCTTTTAATTTTCACAATGATGTTAGCGTGGATATGGTGCAGAATAAAACATCCAAATAGGAAATCGGCAGCGGACATAATCTTAAATCAGATGGAAGCGTAACTGGTCTCCTTAATTTTGTCTTCTACCGAGGGGTAAATATCACATGTAGTCATGATATATGTGTCGTTTTCGAGCGGGGGAATTAACCACTCAGACCTAAGGCAATCGTGGTTAAGAAGCACAAGTCACCGCTGTTAAATGGCCAATAAACACCACTCAGACCGATATGATTCGTAAAGAAGTATCTTTTACATGCATATGTACACGAACAAAATGTAAAAATCTGGAACAAATAAATTTCACTTGTCATTGCTATTTTAAAAATTATTATACATTTATGTATACATACATATTCATACTTTTGTCGTCTTTGCTAAATGTACCAATTTTCACTTGTTAATTATAAAAATATGCGTATTAATCAAGAGTTTTATTCTTCATTTTTTTGCATTTCATTAATAATTTACACATTTCTACGTTGTCCATTGCACAATACATGCATAAATAAACATCACGTTTCAAAGAAAACTGTGTTGCTTGATTTTTATAACATAATTTAATATTTTAGATATAACAATGACAGAACATAGCTATAATTGGAATTTGTTCGAGCTGGAAAAAAACTAGTTTAAGAGGCAAAAGTCTAAACAGTTCGTCTGCTGTATAAATAAAACCTCAGGACAAACAATAAAAGAGTTGGAATTCGAATAAATCAAGAACGAAGTAGCATGTTTTTTAAAAAAAAATGGGTTTATGCAATAATAAAAATTAAACAATATCGGCTTAAACTTTTTTTAATTTTAATAAAAAGTTTAAATTGTTTTGATATTTGTTTTCAATTTAAAATTTACCATTACTTCTTTAAACCCCGGCATACGGATTTGTCAATGTTTTAAGCATCCAAAAAAAGTTTTAATAAAATAAACTTTTTTTACCGCCCGTGAAATTTTACCCCGTAAAAACATGCTCCACTACTCTTCAAATTTGTCTTTTGAACTCTTGCCAATTAATCTCATTGCGTAAAAATGTATACAGTAATCTATATCACAAATCATATCAATTGTTTTTTTCTTCCGGGTTATGTAGCAAAGTAGCCATAAAATATAAAATCATAAAGTTTTTCATATGACACATGTAAATAACAATTGGCATATGTTGAGCGCCCCGAAAATTTCAAAACAAAATAAGGTTTTAAACGGAAATTGGGTTTTTCCCAATTTTTTCATTTTGATAAAAAATCTGTTTAGCAAAAAATGGGGTTGTTTGGGTGTATTCAAAAGACAAAGAACGAGAGGAGCAAGTGTTTTTTTAAGGGGATGCGGTTTTTTTTTTTTTTTTTTTTTTTAAACAAAAAGCCCCCATTTTGGTAAGTTGTGGGAAACAAAAAATTTAAACCCTTTAAAATCCCCTGTCGAAATATTTCCCTTCCCAACTAGGGGAAACTTTATATTGTTTATTTTAAAAGATGAACCCCTTGAATAAATGGGGTTCCCCCTTTTTTACAAAACATAAGATTTAAAAATTTTTGGGGTGATTTTGATTTTAAAAAATGGGGGAAAAGCCAGTAATTTTATGATTACGGAAAAACCCCCGCGTTGTTTTTTCTTTCTTTCTTTTTCTCTTGTTTTTGTCGTTCTCATTTTGCCCGATACAGGCATGTTTTATCAATAACTTTGCTGTTACCCAATCGATTACGACGAAATGAAGCACAACTTTCTGCCTGGCTTGAAATTTACATTAATACTTGAATTTTAAAATATAAGTATATTTACAAATTTTAACAAGCAAATTTATCATGTAAAGATTTACAAAATTTTATTGTCTTTTTACATAGCTTTGCTTGCCTCTTTTCAACATAGAAATTATCATTCAGTTGGCATTTGGCCATTTTATCCCTTTATTGTGTTCCTTTTCTGTGCCGTACCCCTGCCGAGTCCCCTCAGAGCTGGTGTTGGTGTGATTACCGGCAAGATGTGTAATAATTCGGAATATCTAGCCGAATACCAATAATCATCTGACAAACAATTTGTTTTACAACGTGAGGGACGTTGCTCTTTTTCGTGATCCCTCATGAACAAAATCAATCAAACCGAGGCTGCACTGTTCATGCTTATCAAGCAGAAAGTGTAATCATTGTTTAAAAAGTAAATGTTATCATTGCATGATAAGGAGCAAGTATATGGATTGAATCCCCTCCTGCCCCAATTAAAATATATTTCGGTAATTTTATGATGATTCAGATGTCTGATGATGTAGTGGACGGGGAAATGGACGGAGCTTATTTTATCTGCTATTGCAAAACGTGTACAGCTGGATTATGGTGATCCGAATCATGATGGTTTGACAATGTAAAGCTAAGAAAGTAACTTCTGTTTTGTCGACGTATACACGAACAATGAGTATTCCGCATGTTATGATGAACACTTGGTATTGCTACTCTCAGAAAACCTGTAAATGTTTTGTCGTTTAACAAAATGTATTTTGTTGGAATACATGTTTACAATGTTAAATTGGCAAAGTCAATCCAAGAATACAACATTGAAGTTTACAGATAAATATATTCAAATGGGTAAAGATGAGCTGTTATGGTATTGCCGATCGGTTGCGAACAATTGTTTTCATGACATTATATTTTCGCTGATTTTGTTTTCTTGCCTTGACGGGACTTGAATTATTTTGGAGATAAAAGTACGATTTGATATCAGTCAATACCAATAATTTATGTGCATGATTTCAGATAAACCGCTAATTCCGTTTTTTCTATTGTGAAAATTGACCCACAACAGAAAACAGTTTCAATGATTTTCACTAAATTAGGGTTAAGAATACCAAATAAAATACGGTTTTTAACTTATTTCTGAGTGTATTTCTTTATTATCTTTTGCATATCTTTCTTTTTTAAGTACCCAAAATTTGTTTTTGTAAGAAATTAAAATTATATGTTTGGAGGCTTTTGGCGCTCAGTGAAGCCCTTTATATACGTAATGCCTAGCTTCGATTTAGCATTATGAAAGCTAAACAGTGCTTATGAATACTGGTAGAAAATCGTTCTTATTACATGGCTCATATACGCACCTCTGCCGAGGTTAAAATGACTAACAACTAATTTAAAAATAAATATTTTTCATGTAGAGGGATGATCTTTTATAAATTAAAATAATCGCACATTTTATCTACATGTACTTAAAACAACATAATTGTGTAGATTGTTGTAATTCTATTCCCGGATTTCCAATGGATATCTCTTGGCAATGGGCAGCTGAGCGATGAGCTAGGTATATTTCATTGCGTCCACAACAAATAATTTAAAATTGCATATAGGGGCACTAATGCACTCAGCTTGAAACATTTATAAGATCATATTTCACTCCCCTGACCATACCAAACAGGAACTGTCAACAATAATTATCGAAGAAGGTTAAGGTTCCATACCAAACTGCTTTGCGAAAGTCAGTTAAAGCTTAACAAGTTG